ACATCAAAATGAATGCAGTTCTTACAGAATTATGCTAATAAATTTCAGTAAAAACTACAAATATACAGGGTGTTTGAAAAGTTACTGTTTAGTGAAAAAGGTTTAAGTAAAGCTTTATGGACAATACTGTAGTTTCTCCTAAAGCATATGTGAGAAATGCCCCTCAGAGGCCCCAAAATCCGAAGACCTAGCAGACCAGTTTCCATGAGACATTACGAGACTGGCAAAGAAGTCTTCCAAATGACAGAATATCTGTGAGCAAGCTGCAATGCCCATCTACCACAAAGTAGAAACACAGGATATACAATTTACAGGTCTTGTATGCAATGTATGTTTAACTTTAATTTCATTACAAATTTCTCATTGCACATTAGCTTTTTGTACATACTGTATGTAAATATCAATGATTAACAATTACAAGTTATCAGTTAGAATAAAGAGAGTTGGTAAAATTGTTTATCAAGATAAATATATGTTTTTTCCTGTAACTAAATATCTCACATTTATCATATATTTTTACTATTTAGTCTAATATTATGTAACTGCTTTTGTAATAAATTAGCTAATTATTACAGCACTAAAGCAGATAGTAACACAGTCACCACCTACAATAGTAATTTGATTAATTAATTAATAAAACAAAAATATTTAATATTTATAATAATTATATGCATTATTACTATCTATTTTATGATGAAAGCCATATGATATAGTGCACTTAAAAAAATATGACCAAATTTTAAGAATATTCATCAGATAAAAAGGAAAATATAATAGAAAACTGAAATTATTTTTGGTTTGTTTACAACTGAATGCCTCTTCAAACAGTCATGTTTTATAAGAATTAAAATAGAAAGCAAACTAGAATATCTTTATATTATCATTGGAGCAGCTTTGTAGGACAAGTAAAAATATGATAAACTTTTCAACCTAATGACATCAAAGAATTTTATACAAGCCTACTTCAAAACTGGAAATGTATTTCATATTTTTTAATAAAACATATATTTTTTTTTCAAGTACTTTTTATATGTATAGATAGTTGTATTATGATCAAGAGTAAGAGCAAGTCTATTTAAAAGAAACCAGCCCATTCACTCTAGACATAGAAGGGATTGAAAATTTAATACAACTTTATTTACATTAAAAAAAAAAATAAAATAATAATAATAATACAAAAATGATGCAAGTGACAGAAAATTTGTTTTTATTTATTCTATTGATGGACAAGAGGAAACAGTCCATTTAATTCAAGTCTGGAAGCAGCAATTTAAAAAAAAAAATACGAAAGTGATATAAATGAAAGTTTTCTTTGAAATGACAAAAAATCTGTTTATGTTTGTTTTACTGATTTTATTCATGTAGACTTTCAAAGAATGGAAGAGCTACAAACTTGTGACAGACTGTATTTCATCTCTCTCATTCCCTCCTAGTTAGGAGATAACTGGATGGCTGAGAAATTAAGGTGTCAGCTCTAGGGACCCAGGAATCAATCTAGACAAATTGAAAATCTTATAAATTCATCGAGGTGGTCTGATACAGACACGTCATGTCCTATTCTTCCAGCCAACCCCCCACTGTGGCCTGGCTGAACCTACAATGGGCTTGCTTAAAATGGGCTTAGTGCTCAGAGCATACAAAGAAGTACACAACAGAATTCTTATATATCATTCAAGTTACATGATATGCTTTGTGTTAGTGAACTTTTTCTATAGATAGACTTATCACACTGGACAGCCACTGGACAGAATGACCTAGAAATCCAAATGAGATCTTGCATCATGACCGAGGAGGGACCTGTTAGGTCCGAAATGCATAAATCATAATACATAAAAGAAAATTGTGTATCAAGGTCACTCTGTCACATGGCTATCCAGTTTGGTAAGTGATCTATGGGAAAAATGCACTAGCACAAAACATAGAAATTTAAATGTTTTAGTTACTTTTTAATATTTTCCACTAAAAAAAAAAAAACTATAAAAAATCAATGAAATAATTCTTTATCTTCATTAACATGAAGCTTAATTGCTTCACATTTATTTAATTTTGTATAAAAAGTAAAGTAAGTGCAGCTTTCACATTTTCTGAATAAACTGCTTATCTATTATTTCCTAAACATTATGATACAGGACTATTCTGAATGATTTTGGCACCTGAGGCAAGCCTAAGAAAAAAATCAATATACTTACCTATTTCCATGCAAATAAGACCATGCTCTTACATGTGAAAATCACTGTTTTCACATTATTGAAAAATGTCCTGCTTCACTTATAAGAACTTGATCTTATGTGTGCCAGCTTCTTTTTGTTCATTAGAACACTGCACTACTGTGTCAATACAAATTAAATGTAAATGTGCTGATACAGTAACTATTCAGTGATATCTCTATGTAATTATTATTATTAAAAAAAGTGCTTATGAAACTATAAAAAATTTTTAAAAATAGCAAGTTTTTTTTTTTAGGTATTTTGCAGAATACAGTGCCAATTTTTTCCATCTGTAAGAGCATGTTCTTATGTATGTGGAAACACAGTAAATAAATAATATGGTACAGACATGACGCGACTTAAGATGTTTTGATACGACATTTCACACACATGATGGCCATTCCAACCATTTTTCCATAATTACACTTCATTTGCATTGAATGAAGTGGAAGTGTGGAAAAACGATTAGAATTTGAATTCAAGTTGTTCTACCGATGCTTCAATGATCTTTCTCGAGACTTTTTTAATAACACCATCTTATATCTTGTGTTTTATAGTAAATCCATATGTCTGCAAAACACCCGTCGCATCTCAAAGAAAAACTTAAGATAATATCTAAGCATGGCAGTTATGGTGATCGCTGGCGAGTTTGGGCCATCACAATCAATGACAGACCAAACTGATGTTATGTACCATACAAGTTTCCATATAGCCTATTGTTTGTTTGATTTATTTATTTTTATTTTTGACTTAAAATGTGTTTTTGGAATGTAACCCCATTGTAAGTCAAAAAGAGACCATACATTTCTATAAACATTACAGTGCATTTATTAGTATCCCTTCCAATTTGGCACTCGAGGCAATTGTCTCTCTGCTTCATCTATCGACAAGGCCTGCATTATACATTATACACAATAAAATACATTAGGGTAATTGAGGGTGAGATAGAGAATTGAGTTAGATAGCAAATACGTGTAATTAACCACATGAACTAAAAAGTAGCACCTCGTATTAATATATTGTGGTAGTCAAAAGCCATGCTTGCTATGTGCCGTTTACATGCAATCGCCATAAAAATAAGTGAAAAACTCAAACATTTCCGTTTCCAACTTGAAGAACCATTACCAAGCTTATACTTACCGTAGCCTCAAAAATCTTAAGTTAAGATTAGTGGACGTCTTTCGTTTCTTGTATATAACATTACAAAAGCTCAAATAACAAATCTAAGTTGTAATCGATCAAAAATAACAATATACTCTGACTAGCTGCAAGGACCCGCTTTGCTGGGTTTTTATTTGTGGGCAAAAAGTAACGATAGTGAAGATTAAGATAATTACATTATAGCCAATCTTACCCGTTTTCACAGAATGCAAGAATTAGGACCCCCGTTTCCAGACTAATTAGAGAATTTTTACGTCCAGTCAAACGAACTATTTTCAATATGATCAATTTTCTGGAACGTTTACAATCGTTATATAATCGAACCAATTTGAATACAAATTCAAATTTAAAACGGTTCGAACATTTTTAAAATCGAAATAGAAAATCTTCCACTTTCAACCACTTTCGACCCCATATCTCCCGCACCCTTATAGCTATTGAGACGCAACCACCATAGTGCACGAATGGAGACTCGGGGCTACTACCACATACAAACACCATTCATGTGCAATGTGTAGTTTTGGCGGAAAAGTGAAATATAGGGACACACACGTCCATTTTTATATATATATATAGATAAACAGCTCATCCATATACTGTTAACCAACTCTAAGAGCGAGATTGCGAATTAGCAGAAAAATCATATTGTTTTTTTAATCTCTTTTGGAAAACAGTTAATTCGCTCGTTATTGTCATTTGATACGATAAAAAAACATCAGGTCAATCAGTATTTTTTAAATAGAATTTATTTTTACAATCACAGCTTTTACGACTTTTTTCACCATCTCACCCTCATTTACCCTACATAAAAGTACATATATTATAATTAGCTTGTAAAATACCAAAAACAAAAGAAGATTTTTAATAAAATTTCATTTAATTTTAGTCAATTCTCGATATTTTTCGTCGAAGAAACTTAATAAATAATCGACGAGACAGTTTCTTCTCTTAAATGCTTCCGAAGTAATTAATTTTGTATTAATTAAATAATATCAGCTTCCATGTTTTCCGCATGGACCACTTACCTACATTTTTCCATTACATTACACCTTATGCCGAATAAATAAATCAAATAATTCACAATCCGCGTATATTTCAGTAATTGTAGAATTAATTTAACCATTAAAAAACGCGAATTTCAAAATAAATTTCACTTTCGTCCCACTTCAATTCACATAAAAAAAATAAATAAAAAATGTATCCAGTTAGAGCAGAAGTGTGAACCAAAACATCGCAGTTTAATTGGATAAAACGCGATCAATAGCTAAATATTTAACTCATAAAAGCGATAATAAGAAAAATAAGACGTATAACATCGTTTAGACATTCATTTTAACTAGATTTACTTTTAATAAATAAATAAATAAAAACGTACGTACATAAGTTGTTTACCGTTCTCGTCCTTTCACTTCGACTACTTACAGCGACGCCTAATGACGAAATTTCCACACAATTTTATTATTATTATTATTATTGTATATTTTTTAAAATAAGATTTATTAACTGATTTAAATTAATTTTAATAAATTATTACTCTAAATAAGTTTACAACTATTATAAAATTAGAATAGGATCGTATGTACGCTTATAAAAATTATAAATAAAATTTTTTTTTTCGTCTGGTTGTTTTCGTCGTCTTAAAATTATCGTTTGGTTGACAAGATGGAGTCATGTTTGACTGTCGAGAAGGAGATTGAAAAAGTCTTAAGTAAATTTGGTTCTTTTAATGATCACACATGGAAGACTTTGACGGATTTAATCGATTACGTTCAGAGTTTAAAGAATGAATTGACTGACGGTAAGATTTATTGAGTTTTTTTTAAATACGTTCTTACGTTAAATTCTTTATAAGAAATCGAGTTGGATTTTGTTAATAATTTTTATTGGATAAGTTGGTATTTGAAGCGATATTAAATCGTTTTTTCGATATATTATCTTATCAAGAAGCATTAAAGAGGTTGGAAATATATATATTATAAAGGTAAACAATCTAAAAATATATTTAAAGTCCTTCAAAAGTTTAATAATTATTAAGAATCAAGTCTTTGCACAGGTATGTAAAACAATAATGTATTCAATGTGTTAGTTGATTAAATTCTTATTTGCAGCAATATTAAAGCATATTTTCAGCACATTATGTAATTGAGAAGTGTATTTTAGAAGTTGTATAATTACATAAGTATGAAGGTTCTTTTCTGATAATGGGATGCCAGTTGTAACTTTAATTTGATGCACGACACTGTTGTTCGTAAGACTATTTAGCTCGCTTGATGTTATATAGTTTTAGGGAGTGTGGGGTATCGCTATATTCTGCTTATTCTATGTGTGAAGCATGTAGAATTGGCAGTTTACTGATACGTGTTAAAAACTGATCTTTGAAGGCAAATATCTTGCAAAGGGTCAACAGTTCTGGGGGTGGTGCAAAGTCTTTCATTTGGAGTTTGAATCTTGCCCGTTACTATACGTACTGGCTGGCGTCCCGTTAACAGAAAAGTACTTTATGAAAATTATAAATGAAAGATAAAACTTTATTCAAATAAACACACAAATACTAAAAATTCAGCAAGGAAAAATAATTTAATAGAAAACATTGTTTTCAACTGTCTTAAATGGTCATTATCAAGTTTTTGACTGATTAAATTCAAATGGAAATTGCAGTTATAATAATTACTAATATAAAAGCTGTCTTTGTATGTGTGTGTGAATTCCTTATAACTGTAGCAATTTTTGTCCAATTCAGATGAAATTTGGTTATATTTATTCTTATGTTATGGTGGAAAGTGTAGGCTATTTATTTTGCTGAAATATTAGCTATAGAATAAATTTTTTATTGATTTCAATTGGTGATTGCATTTAAGGATTCCTTGTTCTCTTCTATATACGCATACAGTTAATAATAGCAATATCTGGTGAACCAGTATTAATCTTATACATCATTTACTTACAGTGGGTTGCAAAAGTGTGCATAAAGTGAAAATTTTGAAAATAACATTACCAGAAAATGAATTTATTAAATATTATCTTTGTAATATTTAAGTGTTTTAATGGCATATAAATGATAGTATTGCAAAAAATTTTGAAAAACTTAAATATGTAATTTTGTGGTTGACTACATCTATAACACTATACTTATGGAACATATGTATAAATGCAGTGTTTGCATCACCTGTGCAGTAAACATTGTATTTACACATTATTTTGATTTTCATAAGTATAGTGTTATAGGTGTAGTGTAACGCCAAAACACTGTATGATAATTTGTTTATAATTAGTGATTATGGCATTCATGGAAATTGTCCCACTTGCTCCTCTCATGTGCCAAATTAGTATCCATTAATAGTACATAATAGTATTAAACCACTTGTTCCATAATCGGCTATATTATAAATTAATTGCATAATATACTATAATAACATAGTATTTCACTAAAAGTGGTGTTGTAAAAATGGGAATACAAACAGTATTTAAGTAAATAAGACATTTATTTAATATTTTGTTGGTCCACCTTTAGCATTTATAACAGCTTGTTGATGACAAAGCATACTTAATGCTGTTTTTTTCATGTAGATGTAACACCATTTATTAGCTAAATTTTTTTGCTAATAAATGGCATTACCTGTAAACCCAGCAAATTGAATATAGACAGAAATGAATTGATATGTAAAAATCCAATCAATATTTTTGGGTTATATTTTTGACATTATCTATTACCGTGTTTCCCCGAAAATAAGACAGTGTCTTATACTAATTTTTGCTCTGAAAAATGCACTAGGTCTTATTTTCAAGGAATGTCTTATTTCTTCCAGGAAGAAGAATTAACATTTATTATTGAACAAAAAAATTCCCAAGTCGAACTTAGACGAGAGTGACGTATATCCAGTGTGGCGAACTGTCGCCTTTTTATACGTTCAACATCGGACTCGCTGACCAATTAGTGCTTACTGAACCGTAGCACTATGCAAATGTCATGTGGCATGATTCCCGGCCGACCAATTAGCCATCACCAACCGTAACGTTATGCAAATCTGTGATTCCCAAGCCATAGTCTTATGCAAATCATGCCGTGTGGCGTAATTGTCTGCTGATCAATCAGTGGCTGTACTTTCAAAAACCCAACGGCCACTTTCAACCATCTGTCGATGACCGTTACGAGTAAAAAAAAGAAAAAAACTTTGCTAGGTCTTACTTTCAGGGGGAGGTCTTATATTTCGCAATTCAGCAAAATCTGTGCTAGGTCTTATTTTCTGCGGATGTCTTATTTTCGGGGAAACACGGTAGAAATATGTTAACGTAAATGCCAAGTGTTGTAACAATTGGTTGAATGGCCTAGGTGTGCATAGTGAACAAACAAACAAACATTCTCATTTATATCTATAGATTAATTAACTAATATTTTGAAGTGAAGATTGGATAGTGGTCCAAGTAGCATAACTGACAACACATGGAAATTAGGAGTTAAGTTTGTCTACTCGGGCTGATTCTTTTCTTTTAGAGTTTTCTAAATTAAAATTAAAATTAATTAATTTATAATTATTAAATTTATGATAAGATAGTTGATTAAGTGGCTACCTCTAGCCAAATTGCTTTATTTTGTATTGTTAACCTTAACATAACCCAGTAAAAACCCAGCAGATTGTTGGTATTATATACATAATGCATTGGAATAATTTTTAATTAATAAACCATTTGCAATCAATCTCCAAAAATGCCTTATCAATTCCTGGAAGTCAGTATCGATCACTTTGCGTACTCCTGGTTTTGTATATTAATAGTTTATTATATGTAGTTATTGCATATTTGTGACATGTCTTCAGTTATTTATCTATTGTAGTGATTTGGACATGCACTGCTTCTCATGTGAAATTTCAAAGGATTGCTTGCTATTTTAAACTTGTGCAAATAAACTTTTTTCCTGTTTGCTATTCCAAATATCTGAATTATGTATAGGTCTAAGTTCTAAATTTATAGGATGATGATCAAAGGTAATAATACAAACCAAAACAATATGATTATGTAAAAATGTATAAATATGAAGAAACCTTTTTTATATTACAATCTTTCCTAATAAAATTAACTACTGAAAATTTGTGATATAAATTACTACATCTGAGAAATGACACACAACTAGTGGTATTAAACCACTAGTTGTGTGTCATTTCTCAGATGATTGTTGTTGTTTTTTCTCAGAAATGATAACATGCATATCCATATTGTTAGAATGTTAGAACTTGCACTACAGTAATATAAAAAATTCCTTGGTCGTCTGCTAGGTCAAGACATATAGAATCATTCCATTTGTGTTTCCTCATTTTTTCATTTACAAGAGATATTCCGTGTAATAAGTGTTTCGTCGTGAGTGAATCACCCTATTTATGCATAGTGTTCTCTTCAAGATAGTTTTAGCTAGTTGAGAACCAGTTAAATATTTTCTCTGATTAGTTAAAAATGTTAAATAAAGTAAAATTTTTAACATATTTAAAAGAATTTTTAATGATTTAGTTAATATTCAGTGTGATGCAGGTTGGAAAGTCAGTTGCCCAGTTCTTAAATTTTTTTTATTTTACAACTGTTGTTTAACTTCAAAGGTATTTAATAGTAATTTAAATTTTAATTAATATAAAATAGATTTGTACGCTAGTTTAAAAAATGAAGCAAATAAAGGAAAATGCTAATGACATTGACATCAGTTTTAATTTCATTAGCAAAATGGTGGAAAGTAATGCTGTTTTGTATGAACAAGGAAAAACAATGCACAGTCACACTACAGTTATTGTTTTAAATGTATATAATTATTTAAGTCATCAGAATTTACTTTATAGCAAAACAAAAAGATTTAATATATGATAAACTCAACATTCAGTATAAAAATCATTTTCTGAAGTGATAATGTTTACAGAGGGAAAAATTAACAAGAAATTAATCATTTTCTAGGTACTAATTTCAATAGGTGTGTTTAGTAATAATGATTAAAGTACAGATGATACAGAAAAGGAACAGAAAAGAACTAAAGGCAAGAAATGCAATATGTCTCTTTGGTGGTTTTAGAAAAAATTGTGATAGCAATGGATATGTTTCAAACATAAAGGACTTTTTACTTTTACTAAAGATACTCTTTGTGGATTTAGACAAAGGAAAGACTTTTTTATGAGTTCATAGTTGCGAGTTAAAATCAGCAAATAATCCACACTTAAATTGACTTAAACACAAATAACTCACGGGTTATCTTCATGAAATTACAGTAATTTACATGTTCTTTTGTGTGATTTTATAAGGATCTTGCCCTAGTTTTTACAAAATCAAGATGTGTTTTGAATGAAAAACATGTAAGAAATTACAGTAAGTGTAATACAATTTTTTAAAACTTTGAGTGTAATGCCACAAATCTCAACAGCTGAGAAGCTCTTTGAAATGACAACAATTCCTATTAAAACACAAACAACACAAACATGAATGTTTAAAATACAGTTTAAATGTAGAATCTAATGAATTAGGAATAATTTCTGTAGTTTAGGATGTTTGTATCACAGATATTAACTTTTTTTTTTTTTTGGCCAAGCTCACCTTGGACCTCAATTATGGGATTTGCCATTGGTCAGAAATTTGGTGTCCCTGCTCTCACTTTTAGTTTAGACTGAGTTCCACTTTGCACTCCAGAGTCTTGTTCCTTTTGTACATCTGAATGTAATTAAGCTGGAGTAGTTTCTGGTAGCAAATGACTTTCTCCTTTATCCACTGAATCCTTTCCATTTTGATGTTCTGTGCCAGATTGTATTTTTTGCTGACAGTGGCCAATTTGTTTCCCAACCTGTCCACCTCTTGTTTCGTCTGGCCCACGGCGCTGCATCTCTCCTCTCTGTTCAACTGAATTGTTGAACAGAGAGTTCTCGTGACTCTGCAGCTGAAAGTTCTGCAGGGCCTGGCAGAATCTCTCTTTCAGTTCTGCCTCCCTCTTCTCCTCCTCCTCTTCCAGTAGCTGTTTTGTCTCCCTCAGCTGAAATTTCAGTATCAACATTTCTGTTATGTGAGATGTCTGGTCATTCTGAGAATCTTTTAGTTGTGACTTCAGCAATGACACTTCATCTGTTTTTTGACACAGAGACCATTCTGTGTTCTCCAACTGTGCCTTGATCATGACCAGTTCCTGTTGTAGTCTTTCTATCTGTTTCCCTGATGCCTCTTTTTCCTTCTTGCTTTCATCCAGCTCCACTTGAAGTTTCCTCTTCTCTTGCTGAATCTGATAATTCTGAATGCTAATCATCTGCTTGGCCTTGGACAGTCTCTGCTGGCAGGCTCTCAGTTTGTTCTCTTATAGTGCCTTGAGTCTCTTTAGTTTTCTCTGCCAACTCTGCCTCTTCTTCTCATACACTTTGAATATTACCTGCCCGTTCTGCTCCAGGGTCTCTTACAGGTAAGATATTTCCAAATCCTCCCTCAGCATGGCCTCCAGCTTGGCAATGCTGCTGTCATAGGTGATGGCATCTGCGTGAAGTTGTTCAGTTGGAAGCTAGAACCTCTGCTTGTTAACTGGCCTTGGAACAGATTTGAGATCTTGATGCAACTGTCCACTGAGTTATTCAATGATCTGTGGTCATTCTCCAGGGGGGGTACGACATGCTGCTGTAGGGCTAGAGTATGAACCCATCCTGGGCATGGGAGTAGCATAGCGCGTTGACGGAGTGGATACCTTTGGCTTGAAAGCCACTGGGAAAATTACTGATCTTTCCTTTGACCCCAAGATGCCACTGATGTGTACCCGTTTAGGTGGTCCCTTGGCTATTGCTGATGTCCTTACATATGTGAAACTTGTCACTGCTGTCACTGGTTATGTTGCTGTGATTATAGTTGCACATGCTCCCGGTTTTGCTGGAAATGAGCTAATCTTGATTGGTCATAGGCTGGCAACCGTTGTCGCTCTATGCTTCTGGCACTGTGTTGGTCAACATTCTGCTTGTCCACCTAAATCTCTATTTTAACACAGCATCAAACTACATCTGATGTGCAACAATCGATCAGTCATTTCGTCCTTGGATATTGGCTTATGATCTTTAATCGGTGTGTAAATCCAATGCTGCAAATAACATGATGGGTATCCTCTCCCTCCAATTCCTCATTTAAAGGTTACGTCTTAGACTATTTTCATATAAAAATTTGCACAGGTGCATTAAAAAATCACAGAGGCAGAACTGCATAGACGAGGAATCAGAGGGAGGGGTACCCATTGCTCATTGTGTTATTTGCAGCATTGGATTTAACTCTTTCCCTCCAATTCCTCATCTATGTTGTTCTACCTTTGGTGCTCAGTGGAAATTAAAAAAAAAGACAATTCATTGACATTTACTGTCAAAAGATTAAAATTAAATATTAATAATGCCAACTTTTTTGAAAATTACTTGAATGTTTTTAAACTGTTCTGTGACTAAAAGTTCCAAAAATTATAAGGTGTTGTCTTTAGTTTCTTTTCACACAAGTGAAATGTTCTAAATTACAAGCATCAAGCATTTATTTATAGTTTGTTATTGTTTGACCCAGACAAATGATAATGCATGTGAACATAATTTTTTTTATTTGAAAGTAAATAATATAATAATATTTCATTGGTTAAAATTATTACTGCTGTTGTTTTGCATATTCAAAGTTTTACCATGTGTAAATATATACACAGTAGAGCATCTATTATCCGAATACCGATCAACCGAAACATCGGTTAACCAAGTCAACAAATTCAAATTTCTGCTAGGGATGTGGCATTGCAGCACTATTCTCCTCCCTGCCAAACTGAACTGTAGGCCTAGTTTAATGTATTACATTATGTAAGGTATGTATTTGTAAGACGTGTGATACAAATTATATACAGTACAGTTTTGTGTTTAAATTAATGTATTTTTTTGTAAATGATCAGTTATCTAAACAACCCCAGTCCCGGATTGTTTTGGATAATCAATGCTCTACTGTATATATTAGTCTCCTAGGTCAAAATACATGATTTGATCTTTAAATATGCAACATAAACTTCGCATTGCTATCAGATACCAAAACTTCAGTATTATCAAAAGTAGTTAAGACTAGACTCCTGGTTCCCATTTACCATAGGTGTTAGACACATGAAGATATTCAGAAAAATCCACATTGTCAACTCATTGTTCAGGTGTGAACCTGCTACCAGTGTTTGGTGGATTTATCCACTAGGCTTTTGATAGGCCCTAAACTTTGGGTTATAGATAAATATAAACATATATACTGTACAGAATGATACACTTGAGACTGAACTCATTATTATGTGGAATATCTCCATATAAAATAAGAAGAGCATGAAACACAAATAGAATGATGTTTTATTTTATGATGAAGCAGTGATGGAAGTATGTTTTACATTACAGGTAGCCCTCGGTTTACACTACAGTTCCATTTCTACAAAAGCTAGCGTAAAATGAACCCATATTTACAGTGAGGTATAGGGTTAGGTTCTACATAAGTGAAAAATAAGCAAATAATTTTGTTTATTAATACAATATAATACAAAATACATATAAATTTAATTTTTAAAATGTATTTTATCATAAAATAAAGTGAAATGTTTTTATTAAAAAATTTTAGTTTCGGATCTCTTACATTTTTCGAAAAAAAGTATCCATCTTTAATTGTTTACATTTTTGTTTTCTTTCATTAAGAATTTTGGGATATGGTCGAATGGATGTGATGATGCTTCTTTTTACATTTGCACTTTGCTCCCAATCATTGTCTAACTCACAAAGTTCATCTGTCAAACTTTCCATAGTTGAAAGGATACGTTAACCTGACGAAGAGCTACAGATGAGCAGAGACACTGATTGGTCGACCACCGGTCACTGTAGCACATGTATAAGGTCAGTTTGAGCGGGAAAATTCAAGGTGGCTAAGGAGAGATAGATATCGTCTGGCCAATGAGAAGTAGATTTGTCTCACTAATGATAGTTTGTGATTGCCGGAAATGCTACTGCGTCGTAAGATGTTTTTCTGAATGAACTGATACTGGATACATTCATTGAAGCTATGGATCTGGACGCCATTTATTGGACTATTAAGTTAAATAAATTTAACTTGACTTGTGGGTACCTAAACGTTTAGTATTGTAATATTAATTTCATGCAAATGTATACATACCCATACCCAATAATATTAAACAGAAAAACTAAATATATTCAATAAAAATCTTTGTTTTAACGAATGTACAATGTTGTGGCTCGGTAAATACGTCAACACTGAAATGAAAATCATACTGTAGGGAAAATCGGGAAATTATACCACGAAACAGCAAATTGTGCAGTGGCGTTATTTTGAATCAACGTAAATTGAGCCGGCATAAACCGAGGGCTACCTGTATATGTTATTCAAATGTGACTCTGCAATCATGAGATAGTGAACAAAGTAAATATTCAGTCCTGAATGAATGAATCACTCTGTAAAATCACATATCAGCTCAGGTTAAAAACACACAAATATACCCAAAACCAGTAAAAAGATTAAATATATTTACTAACACAAATGTTTTTACTGGTTTTGGGTACATGTGTGTATATTTTTATTCTATAAACCAGTTTTTGAAGTAGTGAATGTTTAGATCAGATTTTATTTATTAATGCATCCTCATAAAAAATGAACAATTATAGCTGATTTTCTTTAATATAAATACAATAACATGTGTTGATGACTGTTATAATAAATAAACTTAGAAAATTTACAGAAATTCTGTAAAAATGTGTCTTCTCACTTTGTCCATTTTACACATAAGGAAATAACAGTCTCACAGTGGAGTTGGCTTTTCTTAATTAATGTTTTGCATATTGTGGCAGACGAGAATCCTCTAAAGGAAGGTCAACTGTTATTTCCTGATGGTATGTGAAAGAGACAAAGTGAGAAGACACTTTTTTAAAGTATTATTTACTTGAGAATTTTTGTAAATTTTCTTATTGTCCCAGCCATTTTATCAAATGTTATAATGCAGCTTATCTTCTTTAAGTAATTTTGATATTTGATAAAACATTCCAAAATGATTTTTTCTTTATAGGATAATTGTTTTATTTATAGAATGTTTATGCTTTTATGCTCTGTTGATCATCTTTCCTTTTTTCATGCACTGTTGACTGTACATTATTTTGCCACAGATTATTATTGTTATGGATTCGTCCTTAGAACAATTTTAATATTTTCATTCTGAGAAGTCTCTTAATGAGAAACTGAATAGATGAAGTTTAAAATTAGGAAAATTATCCATGTATTTGACTCTTACTTGCTAATAAACATTTTTATTAAGTTCTCTAGGACATCTGGATTGATGACATCTAGCAGTGATTCTAAATAATGTGTTCATTAGCCTGCTGGGTAGAAGTGAAGTTTATATCTAGATTATAGCTTATCAATTTAATTTTATATAATGAAAAATATGTTTTTGTAATAAAAAATCATCTTATAAAATTGTTTCAATAACTTATAAACTGACAAATTTTAATTAGGTTCACCATGTTTCTCTTCGATTCCACCCGAACACGAAATTACTCCGGCTCAAGTCATGGTGTTAACTCAGTGTGCGAAAAAAGTCAAAGACGTGGTTGCGAAATTAGCATCAGAACACAGAGATCTTCATGGAACCGTATCTAAAGTCGGAAAAGCCGTCGATAAGGTAGGATTATCTTACCTTACACAGATTTGTTAGTTGAATAAAAATATAAAAAATAAACTATTTTCAGAACTTTATAGCAGATTTTGCTGCCACTAGTAACGAAGAAGTGTTCAGTAGTGCAGAGAACACTCAGCTATTAAATCAAGTTATCAGTGAGCATTTCTTACGACAGGGCATGTTGGATATTGCCGAAGAATTAATTAGGGCAAGTGTTCTTAAATTTTATAAAGTTATTAATTAAGAAGTGTAATAGTTCCATAACGTAACGAATTTTGTAAAGTAATATAAATACATAAGGTGGACATCATGCCGACAATTGTACATACACGAGGAGAAAAACATGACATAAAAAGGCATTAAGGAATATTTTATTTTTCTGTGAGTGCTACAAAAAGTTTTTTATATTCTATTCAGTTAATGCTGTTCCTGTTTGTAATTTAAAATTTGTTTGGAAAAAACATTCAATTCTGAATCATAGTAGCGCCGAAAGCACTCGCAGAAAAACAAAATATTTTTTAACGCCTTTTTATGTTGAGTTTTTCTTCTTGTGTATAAAAATAACAAATAAGTTAATGTATTTTTTTTATTAGAATGTAAAAAAATAAGGCATTTATTCCATTGACTATCAGTTAAACTTAATTAATTGAGCTATTTTTAGGCTATAGTAAGAATTATTAAATTAATGAAATATGTTTAAAAGTATGCATTTAGATTTCCATTTTGTATTAATATTAATACTATGTTTCATCGATACTAACAAGTTGTATTTTTTACTTGCTTTTACTTTGGACAGTAAAAATGGGTGAAAAAGATTTTAGATTCAATAGCATATTACATTTACAGTCTAAAGCAGTGATTCTCAAACTTTTTCGATCCACCGCCCCCTTTGTTCCATAAAGTTATACCCAACGCCCCCTAACCCATTTTCTCTTGTGTGAGAAAAGGATTGAAAATATTCTTAGGAAAACTTTTCTATGAATCTCACACTTTGTGCCCTTACTGTACATTGTTCTCATCATCTGGAAACCATTAAACGCAATGTTTCCTCTTATCAGCCCCAATTTTGCCGTTGGTCACCGTTCAATACCCTGCCTCTATCATAGATCTATTCATCGTGCCAGAAGGGGGCGTTATTGCTTACTTTGAGAAACGCTGAGCTAAAATAAAAGTCAATGTGTTAGAAATATTCAAGTTGTGATCTTCAATAAAAAAATAAAAAATATATAAAATGTAAACATTTTATATATATTCCGTAGAATTTTTATATATAGAATTTGTCTGCCGTCGCCCCTCTATATTTCGTTAACGCCCCCCAATTCTCTATGAGCCTTCTACTGCCCCCCTGACAGCCTCCAGCGCCCACAAGGGGCGTTATCGCCCACTTTGAGAAACGCTGGTCTAAAGCCTAGTGAACATGATACAATTTCTATATACCCTATGGGCACTAAAAGGGCTGCTTTTTAGAAAGCCCATTATGGGTTTGGCCAGGCCTACAATGGGATGACTGGGCGGTGAGGGATGGGGTTCAACATATCCAAATGGATCACTCCCTGAAAAATTCCTGGAGTTTCTCAACCCATCTAGATTTGAACCTGGGTTCTCCTGAGTGGTGGGCTGCCATCTTAATTAGCTATTTGCCCATTAGTTGTCAATACAGTTTCTATTGTATCAGATTATTTTCACTTGACTTTTATTGTATGTGATACCTTGGTCTTGTTTGAAAACAGGTCTGTTTTCTATATTCTAAAGCTGTTAGTAAATACTAATTCTGAGCTCAAAATTTTACTTATTTTGTTATAATATAGCAGTTTTCAGTAATTTTTTAGAAACATTTAATAAGTAAAGGTATCCTATTGAGAATTACTACATTGTTGACATTAAGATAATCTTCATATATGTTTATATTTGATGTTGAACATTAGCAAAGTTGCTTTTATGTGGCTTATGGAGTTGAATTTGTTCTCAAAATTTGATTGGTCAATTTGGATTAAACTTTGTCATTTTTCATAATGTAAGATGAGGAAATTAAAAATGTAAAAATAATTGGGGTCCATGATTTTGTTTTCAAGCTACAGTGGGTTTAAACTGACAGCGTCCAAGGTTGGTAGCATGAGCATATGGAATTTTTCAAGTTTTTCTTTTATGCCAGCAGCAATGTCATTGTTGCAATAGCAACAAGTGATTATTGTAGATGGTTCCAAAAACAATATTATTGATTTACTAGTGCTTCAAACTCAGTTCTTACTTTATGTTCAGATAGAAAATGAACTGTGCTTACTTAAAGTCTACACAAATTTTATTATACATATAAACTTATCTGTGTAAAACTCAGTTAGAGTTGTCTGTAAGGAAAAATTTCAAATTACTGTTTGTTTGTTTGTTGCAATTTCTCTCGGTCCAACTTGCTCCTGCTAAAATATGAATGCAAATATCTTGTTAGGTTCCAGGTATATGATATAGGGATTGCTCTGAAAAATTTAAAAATATTACCAACCATTTTGCCAGTTTAAAAATTTTTTTTGCCATTTCAAAATATTTATCTCCACCAGTTTAACTTACTAATTAATGCAGGTGCTGCTAGCCTTATCGCTACCAGCACCTGCAGCTGGTAGTTTAGTGTCTGGAAAGCAAAAGTAACATGTTAAACTGTTACTTACGAGGAGAGGGCCACGTGTTTGAGTTTTTGATTCAATAGTCTCTTTCCTTGTTAGCAGTAGGAATTATTTTTGAATAATTTTTTAATGAATAATTTCAAATATCACATTTGATTATCATATTTAAATCGTATTTTACATGTTCTGTCATGTCAAAATTTTTGTTTTAGTTTTAGTTTACCAAACAAAGATCAAAAGTGAAAAATGTCACCCCTAAAGAATTTCCCAAATTTTCTGTCAGGTGATAAAAAAAATCCCCAATCTGGAAACATTGGGCAGCATTGCACAAAAACTGCCTTCGGTTCTTAATGTCACTTTCTACTTTTCTGTCCAAACTTGCCAAATGACATCATGAAATCTTTAGATGTGTGGTGCACAGGACTCCTATTGCATGGAAGCTATACATTCTGCTGTTTTTTCTGAAATGTGCTTTGTGATTCAATTTCATGCTGAATGTCGAAATAAGAAGACTAGACACACAGCACACAAAACCAATACCAGCAGTATGAAAAGAAAAAATGTACTAACATTAGTACATTTTTCTTTTCATACTGCTGGTGTTGGTTTTGTGCATTGTGTGTTTATAAAATTCCAGTTTTGGAGAGATACTAAGCAGACTAGGGTTTTTATTGCCACTTGCAATTGTCAGTATTATAGTTTTATCGCCACTTTTAATAAAACTATCACCAAGTGGCCATTTTGGTGCTATGCAGCACAATCCCTGTGATATACTGATTCTTTTTAATTGATTTAGTCAGATATTTGCAATTTTTGTCAATATGAAAATTTGGATGTCATCATTTTATATTAAATTTAGTAAATAAATTAAATTAGACTAATCTGGAAGAAAGGAATTGATCTGGAGTGAAACGCAAATCTACAATTTCTGCTTACCATTCTAAATAGACTTAAGTAATATCTATTAGTTAGTTAGTGAAGTTCTATTATAATAATTAATTTGGTTGTATTATTTGTAGTGATGAGACGATACCAAAATTTCTCCTTAATTCTGATTCTTTTGAATACGTGCTAAAGCTTATTTTAGTTAGAAAAATTAATGATTTACATTACGAGCAGGGTATATTCATTAATTAATAAACATCAAGCTTAAGAATGGAAAATGATTGGGAAATCCAGAATCAATCTTTTGAAATAAACATGAAAATTCTCCATTTATATGTGGATATGCATGCTTTTATTGTGTAACTACAAAATAAATTTGTAATTTTATTTTGGATGAAGTTATTTTGGATGAAGTTAATATTGCAACACCACCCTCAAAGAAATTACAACTAATTCTCTTTTACTCAATGAACTATTTCATCGTGTCATATAGGGTTGCCATCTTTGGAAACTGCTTTGTTGGCAGACATTATGACCAGAGGGAAGGGAAGGTAAATGAAGATGCACTTTTTTCATGCTTCTGCAGTGGGCATGTTTTGTAAATGATTTAATTTCATAATATTTAATACTAAATGAAGTTTGCCAAATGATAAGACGAGTCAAACAAATATCATCATGAGTTAACTGATTTTTGAATTCATTCACTCGAGCCATGAATATCTAGACCAACTCATCTTGAAAAATTAATTTAAAACTCAAAAAGGCATTAAACCTTGCACGAAGAAGTAGTTTTACTTGGAATCATACAAATCACATTTGAAAATTTAACATATCATGGCATCATCTGTGAATCATAACAAAGACATTCCTAATTATAATGAGAATGTTGTTTTATCATTATAAGTAAACATATAGAATATTAAAAAGAATTTTATGTAATATTTTTCAATTAAAACCTAATTTTGTTTACACTTTACACTGTTTTTCCAACAATTCAATATTTTTGTCATTCACTGGCCTTGATTTGAATATAAGTAGCCTGATAGTTCAACCAATGTTAACTCACTTTTAATTAAAATTTTTAAAAAGCAGACAAATTTATGGAACAAAATTAATGAAATTACTAAAATAATTAAAATGAATTTAAATTTGATTGTCATTTTTTGTGTGAAAAAAACACTAAAACAATTTCTATAATTATGTTGCAAAAAAATAGAGTTGGAATTAAATAAAAAAAATTATAATTAAGGGTTCTAAAACTGCAGACAAAATTATATAAATAAAAATTATTAAAAATAATAATTAAATTTAAAAATAACAAAATAATTATTAAAACTGGTCTTTATATTGAAATCCAAATCAAATCAACTGAAAATTAATACTACAACCGAAATTCTGGCTGTTTTAGCTTCAAACAACAATTCTTGATTGTTTCCAGATAGATTGTCAAATGAGCTCCCTTTACCATATACCACCATCTCTGGACAAGAACCACTGGTTTCTGCACCTCATAGCATGTAGAAATCTACACACTTGCTCCTGAATGAATAAATGGCTGGTCATCTTTTTTGCTGTTTGCAGTGATCTCTTGTTCACTGCCTACATCATCAATACAGGAATTATAAAATTCCACTGATTGATATACATGTGTGCACAAATTTTATTATGATTGCATTATTAATACAAAAATTATAGCAATTTCTCAATGGGTAGTTTCTTCTCACCCACTGTGTGTACTTCTTTTTAAAGCATAAAATATATTTGAGGTGACATTATGCTGCATCATTTAAAATGATTGCATTTGCAGAAGAGTATGAAAATAGCAGTGGAACATGACTGTTTCATGCTATTTCTATATTTCTTCTAAATAGTAATTAATTTACAAAAATTTTTCTTTCCATAAATAAATTTTAAAATTTAATTTCAAACTCAGTACATCTTAAAGTAAAGGAAATACAGTAATTAGAATTTAAATAAATCTAGAAGAAAGAATTGATCCAAAGCAGGAATTACACTAAAGGCAATACATCAACAAATATATAAAATAAACTGGATGAACATATATAGAACATCACAATGGCCAATAAGCCAACAGTTTTTCTTGTTTATTAGTGATTGTAGTGTTCTTTATATCCAAGATGTATCATTAAATATAAAATGAACTATCTACAGCAGTGGTTCTCAACCTTTGTAGGCTGAGAACCACTCATAATTCATATACTTTTTTTACGTGGAGCATTAGCATCAATGTATTAAAAAATCTATAAGCAATTCTGTGTTTACTATTCTCACAAAACAATTAAACAATAAGTTAATAAACATTATTGTATGAATAAAAAAGTAAACATGGAATCATTTATGAATAAAGTAATATGTTGTAGTACATTGAAATAAATTTGCAGCATAAATTTAAAAATTTTTTCATGGAATACTCAGGGTAACTTTGAGGAACACAAGTTAACTCTTGTTTACATATGTTATGTGGTTCACTTGAATATCATTTTAATATTATAAAATATATAAAAAATGACAGATGATTGTGTGTATCTTTGTATGTATGTAGAATATCTTTGAGCATAAAAATTTTGTTTTAATATAATACTTTAAGCATTTTTATTATTAGTTATTGAACTTTTCATAAATGCTATAGTACATTTGAAGTTTAAAATTAACGTTTTTTGATTTACATTTTAGGAAGCTGGTCTACAAATAGATAATGACAAGAAAGAACCTTTTACTGAACTAAATAGGATATTGGATGCTTTGAAAAAACGTGATTTAAAACCTGCTTTAGAGTAAGTTAAATTTTAAGGTATTTATTTTTATAATTTAATTTTCATGTAGATGTAGAGTGGCTAAAGATTACTTAACTGCAATAAATATTTTAAAAAATGGTTAAAATTGACCTGGAACAACTTAATAATAATAAAATTTTAATCAGGATTTGCATTTTACTCGAATGAGGCTCTGAAGTACTCAGAAAGAATGTAAGCAATGATCTAAGATGTTCTTTGTATCCCATTAAATTATGTTGTCATATTCTTCACAGACTAACCTAGACTTGCCCTTCTTACTGGGCATTACAGAATCCTTGCCAAAATTCGTGAAATGTACTTTGTATCATGTTTAATCTTTTGGGAAATTTATGACCATAGAAAACTTTGGGAAGATTGGGTATTAAGCTTTTTAACTTGAAGCCAGGGATTATTTTTACCCTTTAAACTTTGACCTAATGAGGTTTTACTATATATATAAGTAGATATTTGTATTTATTATTGATTAATTTAAACTGATGAAATAGAAACTGCAGAAATGAAAGAATAACCAAATTAATGAAATGAACTGTCATAGTGCAAGTTTAAACCAAAAATCTGAAGCCAAGTTATAGGGTATATGTGGACAAAAACTGAATGTGAGTTAACTAATTGATAGATCATTATATTATACTGTTTAATTGAATTTGGTTATTGTAAATGAGTTATTATTCAGATGTATTTACTAGTTAATTTAATACAGGTATCTTGTGCTTAATGCTGTTTTGCTTAATGCGTAATTTGATTAACACACGAAATTAATTGCGGCAATCCCTTTTTATGTGCAGCAAAAGTTTTAATTAATGCTTCTTTAACAGTTGTTTTTACTTAACATAAATATGTTTTTCTTGTCAAATAAGGTGTTAGTGAATTTGTTATTTTTGTTTGTTAATATAAAAATATTTGTTATTAATTGAAAATTTGTTCTAGCGGGTGGAGACTGTTCAGTCAAGTACTGAGATACTGTACCTCTGTATTTGATTACTGCAATTTTAATATATGCAGTAGCATTGAGGGATTAATTAATCGCATTAATCAAGGGATACCTGTATTTTTCATAAAAATTTTTCTAATTAATGAAATTTTAATAGAATGTGTGTTTTGTAATTTTGTTTTACTTGTTAAATATTTGTTTATTTTAGATTGGCATCAAACTAATAAAATTAGAAATTTTTACTAAGTTTATAGATTGATATAAATTGTATTGATATATCTTCCAAAAAGAATGCTACTGTTTTAATTTATTGTAATTGTGTTAATTATTATTCAAAAATATTATAACATACATAAAAACATTGCAAAACCATCCAAGTTTCACAGTTGGATGGTTTTGCCCATTACAATTTCTCAATGTGTGCACCTTGTGTCACATGCCACACATTCTACTAATGTTCAAGTTCTTTTGTCCTATGGCTTATCCATCGTCACTCCTCTCACAGCCCCCCCCCACAATTCTGCAATTCTTACAGATTACTCACATTGCACAATGACGAGGAATTTTGACTTTGCCTTCTCTGTTGGCGGGGTCGCTGTTTTTATTTAGGTCACTTCCTAGAGAAAGTAGATGGGAGATGTGCTCTAGTAGAGTGTAGAAGTAGATTGGACAGTTGCTCTATTGATCAGTGTATGTTGCATACTTCTCGGATAATAATTTACATAATTACAGTAATCTAAAATGACAATTCATTTTGGAAGACCCTGTATAATGAAAATTTATTTAATTTTTATCAAAAAGTTATCAAAAATGAAGTTAAAGAAATATAAAACACATTGACATTAAATAAATGTCCAACAATGAAGATAAAAAATAAAAATATGGAATATAATTATAATCACTTTGTGTATTTTTTTTTTTTTCAAATTTTATAAAGAAATTTTACTTTGTTATTTTTAGTTTTGGTACAAATTATTAATTTCCTTTATCTTAAAAGATATGTTTGTTTTCAAATTTTCTTTAGAATATTAAAAAATATTGAAGTAATTTCATCATTGTCATCATCTCTTTACCTTGTAATTATCTGATTATGCAGTCATTCATCTGAAACTTGAGGTCAGCAATTTAAACAATCTTTGTCTGAAGAGCAATTTAAATTGTATGCTACTAATATAAGATTGGCACTTTTTCAAAAGTAAAAAGTGGGACAAAAGAATATTACCAAACCATGTAATGTTATATACATAACTTAAGATTAAAATAATACATTAAGTAGTTTTGTTAGTTTTTTTATTAGTAGTTTTTTGTTTATATAGAATTTCAGAAATAGTTGTACTTTCATAGTTTTTATCTAGTATTAAAATAAAACCTATCAAATAGGAATAAAAATTTCTTAAATTTATACTTAAAATATTTTGTGCCTAGAATAATTTGTGAAAGAAAAATACTAAAACTATTCACAAAAATTTATAAAATAACCAATGATATAATCAAAGATTAAAACTTTGAATAAAGTAGCAAACCAACAAAACATAGTTACATAATTGACTGCTTAATGCAGATGAACCACAAACCTCTTTTGACCTTCTTTTGTGGCCTTCTAGAAGAGTGATGTAGCTATTTCCCTAAATATGCAAAAGTTAAATTCATAAAAATTTGTAAAATTGCCACTTTTGTGTTATTTTCATATTTTATCGTTTTTGTTCTTTTTAAAATATAATCTCTCATAACATGTCAAATTACCATACAGGTAACCTTCATATAACACAGTAGTTAGATTACACAAAAATATTGAATTATAAAAATTGCATTATGCGAGATTCACATTACATATAAAAAGTGGATTTACATTCCAAAATGATTTTTTAAATAAAAATTTTATTTATCATGTAAGAAAAAAACAGTTTATTTAATTCAGAAAATTTTATTTAACAAAATTATGAATTACAAAACAAAAAGAAAATAATTAAAATTTATATAATAATAAAGAATTGAACTGTACATAACAACCATTGCACACAAAAATAAATTTTCTCACCATGATGTATGATTTTAATAACTCAAGTTTGATATGCACTTATGACTTTAACTAACTTGTTCATACTTATTATCTGAAAAAGACAATTTTAAGCAGCATGCAGCTTAACAAAACATGCCAAAAGGAATTTCTGTTGTATAAAATTACATACTTGGTGACACAGAATAGTATTTTTAAATTTTTGAACATAATTACCATAAAAAATAAAAGGCTTTCACCATATAGAGGAACTTTGTTACACTACAATCTACACTGGTGAACTATGTTGTAGTAAATTGTAGTAACTGAAAGAATATTTATTAGAATAAGATAAACAGATGATTTTGCTTATCAAAACTGTGTTGTATAAGTACTGCATTATACAAGGGTTACCTACTGTATATTTAAAATTTAAGTAAAGGAAACAAGCACACACTCAAGAATCTTATTTCATATAAAGTTTATGTAGAAATTTAATATTTTACATAATTAAGATTTTAAATAAAGTTTATTTTTTATTATACCTTAAATTCGATAGATCAGTAGTTTTACTATTAAATTAATAAATTATTGTAAGATATTCTTACTGCCAATGTAGCCAACTTCTACAGAAATGAGGATATTTTAAATGTAGAATAAATGGAGGAGAAAGAAGAGATTGCAATTTTTCTTGAGGAAAAGATTGATGCTACATTGAAAAAGCTGAAGGATAGAAAGACATTAGAATTAGATGGAAGGAAGGATAGGAAAAATACAGGGAGAACTCCTTAAGGTTATGGGGGAAGATGGAACAAGAAACCTAACCAATTTCTTTAATAAAATTTTAGAGTTCAGATATTCCAGATGATTTCACAAAATTTATCTTCATACCTATTCCTGAAACTGAAGGTGCCTTAGACTGTGATAAACACAGAACTATTAGCTTGATAAGCCATGCTTCATAGGTTTTAATTAATATGTACAGTAAAGAATAGGAAACTACGTAAATCAGAAACTAGATGAGTCACAATTTGGTTTCCGAAGAAGTAGAGGAACAAGGGAGGCCATCATAATGCTAAGATTTATAGGAGAAAGGATGATGGATTATGATAGAGAGTTATTTGTGTGTTGTCAACTTTGAAAAAGCCTTTGATGGTGTTAATCAATCTCTATTTTATGAGATTCTGCAAAACATAGGTATTGATAAAAAAAAATACTAAAAATAATCTACATCTATAAAAGTCAAAAAGCAATGGTCAGATTTCAAGGAGAGGATACGAAATGGATTCAAATTAAAAAAGGCATAAGGCAGGGATTTGGTTTGTCCCCAACACTTTTCAACATCTATAGTGAATGGATGATGAGAGAAGAGTTCGAAAATTTAGGTGAAGGCATAAAAATTAATAGACATCTATCTTATCAATAACATTAGGTATTCTGATGACATTACCCTATTATGTAACATCAAAGAAGAGTTACAGAGGATTCTAAATAGATTGAATGAAATGGGGAAAGCAAGATACCAAATGAAAATAAACATGAACTAAACAAAAGTTATGATAATCACAAGAGAAGAAAACAAAGATCTACAAATTATGTTGGATGGAAAGAAAATAGAAAAGGTAAAATTGTTTGAGTACCTAGGAAGTTGGATAACTGAGGCTAACAGATGTAATTATGAAATTAAAAACAGAATAAAAAAGGCTAAAGCTGCTTTCGCACAAATATCCTTAACTGTAAGAAGTAGAAATGTACGCAAAAACTTGAGACTAAAAATACTTAAAACAATGATTTGGAGTATGGCTACATATGGATGTGAGTCATGGACAGTAAATCACGAGGCAATTAATAGTTTTACACATAAAAGTATAAACAAAATATAAAATTCCAATGTTTAACAAAGTTTGCTTTGGTTTATCATCTGTTGTTCGCTCCAGTTGACAGTCCACAATTTCACAAGTACAGAGACGACCTTTCTTTTGAGGCTACTGCCTCTGAAATGCTGCAATTTTATATTTTGTTTATACTTTTATGTGTAAAATAATTAAATGTAATACCGTCAGCCATGATTTGTACTTTATATTTACTTGGGCAATTAATAGGTTAAATTCCTTTGAGATGTGGTGTCTAAGAAGAATGGAAAGAATTAGTTGGACAGATAGAATAACCAATGAGAAAGTTACAAGTAGATTCGGAACAGAAAGAAACGCGATGGTCATCATCCAGAGAAAAAAAACAGCATATGCTGGGCATATAATGAGAGGATTCTCAAGGAAAGTGATGAAAATTGCAGTTAAAGGAATGGCAGAGGGAGAGGAAGAAAAGGAAGATCTATGCTTGACATGGCAAGATATCATAAAAAATGGACTGGCAAGCTTGGGAAAAGCCTTTAACCATGAAGAGTGAAGAAGAACTGTTCATAAACTGCAATCCTCTGTAAAGAGAATGAATGAATTCTTACTGCTTTTCAATAAAAAAAAGTCATAATACAGAATAATAATTTAGGATTGTTTGTTAAATATTTCATAGTTTTAGAAGTGGGCATTTTAGTTCATTCTGCAGTCTTTAAAATATTGTTCATATCAACCATTTATCTTTTTCTTTTGCAGATGGGCAAGATTGAATAGAAATAAACTTCAAGAACAAAATAGTTCTCTCGAATTTAAACTTCATAGGCTTCACTTTATTGAATTACTACAAAAAGGAATGAAACACCAGGAGGCTGCAATATATTATGCTCGTGAAAATTTTCAGCATTTAGCTTCTCATCACGAAAAAGGTAATGTGTTATTGACTCAATAGAAATTAATCCTTTTTAATTAAATTAATTTAAAAAAAAAAACTAAATTGATTAATTAAAAAAGTTTATATTTTACTTGATAATTGATGAAGAAATTTTTAATGAATTATCAAAACTTTGTTCTTTTAATGAAATATTTATTAAATATAATAATATATAGTTAAAAAACACAGAACTTTACAATTCAAAACGCTTACATCAATACAAAATTATATCTTTATAAGTTTTAACTTGAAACTGAAATTTCTAGTTACACTTTACAATTTTTAGATTGTTTATTGAAAAAGCTACATCCTACATATTTTTATGACTTGCAGCCAAAAAAATGTTTAATGTAAGGAATAATGTGCCTACAGGCAACAGAATTGCACCAAAATCTAAATAAATTTTGATATTTTAGAATTTATTTAACTAAATTGAAGTTTGTGAATTTAACTCCTGTTAAATGTTCATGAGTCATATTAATTTCAAATTAGAAGTTAAGACTTAATTATTAAAAAAATACTTAATTTTCGAGTCTGTCCATTAATCCTTTTAACACAACCACAGAAGTACCCGTTATATTGGTTTGAAGACATAACTTCATTAAAAAACAAACAATAGGTAAAAAATTTTCACTATTAAAAACAATCAAATGTTAGCCTTTTATTTGAGGATCTGACGCTTTAATATGAAAAACAATAAGTAAATCTTCTCACCCTACTATCAAGCTTTTATCCAATTTGTATCAGGTTCTACCCCTCTAGTGATGGATATGAGTTATCTTTTCATTTGCATATAGTTATTTGTTTTTTAATGAAGTTATTTCTTCAAACCAATGTAATGCGTACTTATGTGGTTGTGTAAAAAGGATTAATGGATAGACTCAAAAATTAAATATTTTCGTAAATAGTCTTAACTTCTAATTTGAAGAAAATATCCTGAGTTCATCATGAAAATTGTAACCATATTAATTTCATTTTATGATTAATGAGACGTATTATATACTGCAACATTAATTAATGAACTGCTTTTAAAATCTACAATAACACTATCTGGTACTCAAATCTAATATTTTTACATATTTAACATTTATTCCATTATTATTGTGATGAAAGATTGGATGTAGAATTAGAAAAACAGCTCTCTTCTTTCCATTAGAAATTAATCTTATAGTATGATACCAAAATTTTGTTTGGATAATCTGTTCTTGCAGAAAATTGCAAGAACAAAAATAAAACTTTTGTATAACCTACTGTAAACCCTGTGTCTCTGGGGTGCCTCTGGAGTGGCCATCGAAAGCAAGATAGTTATTGGTATGTAATTTAGAAGTTGCCATCTCAAGCATTAAATTATTGCTTTTTCTGTTTTATTTTTACTCATCATTTGGCTTGGTTGTTTATGTATAATATTACTTTCTTTATAGTCTTTTCATTCATCATCATTTTTTGCAAGTTTTTATATTAAAAAATATTAAATTATTCATATTTTTTGATTAATTACTTGATAATATCAATATTCTATTAGTGTTAGTTGAAACTTTTTTAATTGTCAGTAATTATTGTATAAAAATGTAATTATTTTTTTGTTTTTTGACAAGACTACGTCTTGTTTATAAAATCGTACTGCCTCATGTTCTTGTCAGCATAGAGGTATGAAGGAGTACATGTAGAGAGTTGATATTTGGCACAGAGTATTAGGTGCCCAAATCATTTGCGCATAAAAAAATCCAGACTCGTAGGTAGTCGGGGGACCGAGAATCAAGTGAAAATAAAATTCAAAATGGCGTTTTAACCTGGTTATTATAAAGTGAGGAATACATTGGATTGCAAAAACATCAAATTTGTATTAGGAATGTGAAAATACGAAAACTATATATAGCATATATATAATTAAAAAATATATGTATACAGTATATTATTTATCTTTTCAGCTGTAAAAATCAAATTTTAATAGAATTCTAAATAGCAAACAGATTGTATAGGATACTTTAATTAAGTGGAACATAAAAATTACAACAAAACATATTAATTATTAATTCATCAAAAATGACTTGAGTGGAAGTAATGAAAAAGAAAAAGGAAAGAAAAATGAAGGGTGGATGAATGTCTGTTTAGGCGACGAGAGTTTGAATGTTGAGTTACAAAGGTGATTTGCTAGCCACTTCAAAGGGTAAGAAATGTATTCGGTATTCTTGCATTTATAATATTAGTTATGATCTAAGCAACTAATAAAAATTGATACAGTGATTTGTCTACTTTGCAGTTATCAAGTAGATGTAATTTTTTGAACATTTTTGCTTTTTTCAATAAATGATTTATTAAAAATTACTTTAGCCACCATCAAACTGTTAAGATCATAAATGATGTAATAAATGTGAGAAAACAGAATATCTTCCTACACTTTAAAATGTTCAGCAAATCGCCTCCGTAACACAATCTTTGAACTTTCATCAAATAAATGCTGTTATCTTAGCCTTAAAACTGTTTTTTTTTTTTTTTTTTTTTTTTTCATTACTATTGTGCTACAGTTCTTGTCGAATGAATGAATAACTTTGGAAAAGTTTATGGTTTCTTGGTACTGTAAGCTTAATTCTAACAATAAGACACAAGTTTAATAACATTAATATGTATGATGATAAATCATAATTTACAACTTAACCAGATTAATTTTCTCTAACAGATAGAGTATTATTTGGCTTTTTACAACCTGTCCTCCTCACCTATTCCTATTTTAGGGCAGTCTTTATTCAAAATTCTTCCTCTGAAAGAGTTTTTATTTTAATTTTAAAATATTTTGTACATAATTAATTCTTTTGGAATATTGAAGGTGGGACTTAGTGTTTTTGTAAGGTAGGTTATGGATAGCAGAGTCTGCTGTTTAGAGTGTCTGCTATTTAGAGGTAAATATTATAGATGTCCTATTTGAAGGGTGTAGGGATTGTAAAAATGCTCGTTAAGTAGAGGTCATTTAGAAAGTAATGACCTATTGCACATTCCGGCTGCGCAGTTTGATCTCGGGCTACTATCCAAGGTCGAATAGTTTCCTCAATGCCTTTTCTCAGTGTTGTGTGAGTGCTAATCAAAACAAGTTGTTATTGTGCATTGTGTGATTGTCAACAATGAACAGTGTGATACAAAGGCCCGCTGACTGTGAGGTTAGAGGTCAGAGGCATTATTCGATTTTTGAATGCTCCGAAGTTGAAATCTGCAGAAATTTACTGTTAACTAAAGGAAGTGTATGGTGATACAGTAATGAACAAAAGAAATGTGAGTGTGAAATGTTTAACAATGGTGTGCATGATGAGACTTGACCCAGACATCCATCACTCATCACAGATGATTTGAAGAATCAAGTGAAGAACAAAATTGTGCAAGACAGACATGTAACCTTGGACGAGTTACAAGTTTCTTTCCCTAACATTTCTCATTCATTGCTTGGTGAAATTGTCTCTGAACATCTTGGCTATAGCAAAATTTGTGCATGATGGGTTCCTCGGCAACTGAATGACCGAGAATGGGTGCAGCGCTGACATTTTTGACGTGGTATCACGCAGATGGAAATGCCTTTCTTGATCAAATTGTTACTGGCGATGAGACATGGGTGTCTCAATTCACCCCAGAGACCAAGCACCAATCACTCGAGTGGCATCATCCCTCATCACTTAAAAAACTGTGAAAATTCAAACAAACTCTGTCAGCATGAAAACTCATGGTGATGGTTTTTTGGGATTGTAAGGGTGTTCTCTTGGTGGATTTCATGCCAAAAGACACTACGATCAATGCAGATCAACATTGTGACACCCTAAGAAAACTACGGCAAGCAATCCAAAATCATAGGTGTGGAATGCTTTCTTGCGGTGTTGTGCTTCTTCATGACAATGCCCGCCCTTACACTGCTGCTGTAACCGCAGGCTTGCTGGATCGATTTGGATGGAAAATTTTTGATCATTCACTCTACTGTCCTGATCTTGCTCCTTGCGATTTTAGCCTTTTCACGAAGCTCAAAGAGTTCTGGGCGGGAAACGTTTTGGAAGTGATGACGAGGTGAAGAATACAGTAAACAACTGGCTTAATGGACCGGTGGCAGCCTACTATGACACAGGAATTCTAAAGCACGTGGACAGATATGACAAATGCTTAAATAATGACGGTGATTATGTAGAGAAATAAAGTAAGTTTCAATTTTGTATGTGACACGTTTTTGTTAATAAAATATATTTCTTTCATTTATTAAAACCAAATGGTCGTTACTTTCTGGATGACCCTCGTATATCACTATATTTATATGTTTTTTGTTACTATAACATGACATGTGTTCATTGTTAGAAAGCACAATATGTATGAAATTTTGGACATGTACTTTTGGGGAGAAAAGGAAAAAATTTTATGAATAATTACAGAACAAAATTAAAAAGATATTAATGTTTTTTTCTTTAGTTTTCTTGAAAAATTACTGATATATATGCCAATTATCTTGCATTTGCTTTATTTGTCAATAAACATTATTTCTGTATGTGTGTAGTTACAAATAGCACTAGTGTTTTATTTACAAATTTGTTTATATTATTATTCTTCAAGCCCACTAGCTGCGAATGTCTTAAGGTAATCATGTGTGCTTTATATGTTAGTGTTGATCTTAATTTATATTGCATTGGGTTTTTGTTATTAGATAAAATTTCATGATATAACAGTCTGTTATTCTTGACATTGTACAGAAGTTAGGATTATAACAACTTTAATTCATTGCTGTTGTTATAATTTGAAAATGGGGACCAAGTTTTTGGAATATTTTTAATTCCATCTGTAGAAAATGCTTACTACTTGGGAATATAGGTATATACTTGAAATTAAATGCAATTATGTAAATAAATACAACCAATTTTGTTTTAAAAACTTTTATATATAATAATTTTTATTTAATAATGTAAATAATCCCAAGATGTATTTTATCAAAATTATTATTCAATTAATGAATTTTGTCTTTATTTTATAGAGATTCAAGTTCTCATGGGAAGTTTGTTGTATTTACGTCAAGGAGTTAAAAAATCTCCTTACAACTACTTATTGGATCCCATCCACTGGGCAGAAATCTGTGACGTATTCACAAGAGATGCCTGTGCTCTACTTGGACTGTCCGTAGAAAGTCCACTGACCGTCTGTATAAATGCGGGGTGTATAGCATTACCGGCATTATTAAACATCAAACAAGTTATGCAACAGAGACAGGTTACGGGAGTATGGAGTACCAGAGATGAATTACCAGTAAGTTTCATATAATTTTTTTAAAAAATATGGTTTTACATTGCCAATAACCAAAATTTCTAATAACAATTTTTTCAGATTGAAATAGATCTCGGACACAAATGTCGCTTTCATTCTATCTTTGCATGTCCCATTTTACGACAGCAGAGTTCAGACAGTAATCCGCCAATGAGATTAGTTTGCGGACATGTGATCTCGAGAGATGCTCTCAATAAACTTGCAAACGGCAATAAGTGAGTATGAAATTAAGCATAAATGCTTATATTTGATATTTATGAACAAGAATATGAAAAATTTGATAAATTTGGAAATTTCTTCTTTTCCTGATTTAAGAACTGACTGATTTTTTTGCATACAAATTGAATTCTATTTGTTGAAGAACTGTCTGTTTATACAAATTATAAAAGTCTCAGTTGAAGCCTCAGATTTTTACTACTACAGTAGAACCTGAAGTTAATGTTAATGGTACTTCGGATAACAGAAAACTCAGATAATATGGATGGCCATAATTATATTCTTGATTTTTAATCCAAAATGAAAGAATTTATAGTATATCATTTTAAATTCACTAAGATATAAAAAGAGCTTAAATCGTATAACTTAATAACAACAATTCAACAGTTTTTCACATTTAATTACACTGTTCTACTGTATTAACTATTGTTAAATTTTAAAAGGTAATTTAATATACAGCTAGCAGAAACAAATCATTCATATTAACTGAGAAATTTTTTGTAATACATGTTTCTTTTATGAATTACAGTATAAGAATAGTAGTATATTTGCCATTTACAAGTTTGTCTTAGATAACCGGGGTTTTACTGTAGTCTAACCTGGATGCTTTGGGTCTCTTTCCTTGCTACTTAACCATCCCTATTGAGCCTGAGCAACCAAAAATGGCCATCCAATATTCAATGTTTATAAAATTTGTGGCTTCAGTCAAAAAGAAAAAAGGAGGAAAACTGACTAATAGGAACCATGAGCTGTTTTTCATTATTTTTTAGTCATACATTTTGATTCACACGAAGTTGATTCTTAATAGTAATGGTGCTAAAACAATTTCAGATTAAAATGTCCGTACTGTCCGGTGGAGCAAAATCCTGCCGACGCTCGTCTCATCCATTTTTAGTCACATCTTCATCCGAATCCAGAGTGGCATTTTACTTTCTTTCCTCCTGGATTAAATTGAATACGTCCTTTTGTGAGTGTATATAAAATTATCTAAATCCGATGCTAAAATCTGTTCAATAAACCTAGTTAGTTATCATGCATATTATTTGAAATACCAAACGAAGACTTCTGTCTGTTATTGTATAAATTATTTTTTAATTAATAATATTGCTATTGATGTGTCAGTACTTAAATGGCCAATTTTATTTGTTTTTAATATGCATATTGTGTGGTTTGAAACTTATAAAAAAGGTAAATTTTTCAGATTTATGCACACCCATCTTTCTAAAATTGTCAGATGTGTACATACATACATAAATATATACCATATAAACAACAAATCACTCTGTTATGCAAACATTTTCTTATTTTAAACCCTGTGATGCACATGATTTGGATTTTGTAGCAAGTCTCCATCTGTAATTTTGTAAATAAAAATATTTGAATATGCCGACAGTTTAAAGAGAGCGTGAACTTTGTGTGCCGTTTGGACCCATTAATACATTTATGTTCTTGGAATCTCGATGGTAAATTGCAATTACGCAAGTGCTCCATCTGCACCTGTAATTACTACAGTGCATTTGATGAGTATTTTTTATCATTTGCACTTTAGAAACTCCACATATTATTGCTACTATCTAATTCGCATGATTACAGATCAGTTTTGTTATTTCTTACTTAAAATTTACCATTGACATTTCACTGATGTATCATAATCAGTGTAATTTATATAATAATAAACCAATAATTACACAATTTTAGACAACAATACAAATATTTTATTAATAAAAATCATAGTTTGTGGCAGTGAATATGAGTATGCTGTTTGGCACAGATGTTAAGTAAATGTAGTTTGTAATGGAAATTATTAATTAATACAGTAAATTTCTTTTTAATTACACAAAACCACGAACATAATCGGACAATTTTAAAAAACTATGTACACGATAGCACCATTGTGAAACTTTCCTGCATTTCAGCAGAAATAATTTTAAAAAAAAAGAAAAAATTTAATATTACATAAATGCATATAATTTTTCATTTGATATTATACTACAAATATAATTATTCTCTATAAATTATAGACAGAAAACTGCTTAAATATCCAGATAAGAGCCAAGAATAAGCATTTTAAAAAAGAACGAGAACTTAGTTTCAGATTTCATTTAGTTTAGTTTTTCCTGGAAAGAAAAAAAGAAAATTAAATCAGTATTTTGTTTAATTTATATAAAGGGTGACCTGAAAGTCAGTTAACCATTAAAAAAAACCAATTTTTCATTTATAAGACTACAATTTATATTCACTTGCGCTGTATATTAACAAAATATTGTTAATATACAGCGCAGTCCAAAATTCAAGGGTTGCTATATGCATACATCTTTCTTCTAGAGGTTAAAGGTTACAGTTATATTTTAAACAGGATATTATTTAGATTATACAAAGATTATTTATAAATTTTTTTTTGAAAAACTATAGAGGGTTGAAGGATAAATATTAATTTACATAATTATAATGTGTACTACAGTTATTACATAACTGTAGTACACATTATAATTATGTAAACTAATATTTATGTAATTAACTATAATAAACTAATGTAATTATGTAAACATGGGGCACTTCAAGCACATGCCACACTGTTCTGTAACTTTATGCAGTGAGTTAACCATGCATTTCCGGACATATATGCTTATAGGAGAATTTTTGTTTCTTGTCTTGGCAGTAATTACCATCCTATTATCCGAGTATTTTTTTTAATGGTCCAAGACTAGTGCATTAATTTCTATAACACTAAAGATAACTTAAACTACAAATATAAAATATTCTATTGATAAAGCAGTGTTTCATCTAGAAATGAATTAAGCTGTAACAGTTTAAAGTATATAGAACTTTATAGTAATCAAGAGATTTTTTTTTTTTTTAGAATTACAAACCTTATCAGCATCATCCTTGGGAAAAAATTACACTAATCTGTTCCCAAGGAGACAAAGGAAAGTACAAAAATTTTATATTTTAAACTGGAGAAGGGTTGAAGACGAGAATAAAACACTTACTAGGAATGTCCGTAACATAAATTCGGGCGGAAGCAGATGTTTCTCCTTCGTCGTTACGTGCCACGCAATAATAAGTTGCGTAATCCTGAACTCGAAGTCTCTGTACTTGCAACCAGGACGTCACCTCGTAGTTCCTAGGGCCACCTCGTGATTGTACAGAGATACGAGGAGTGTCGCCTGAAACGGTATTTTATCTACACATCTCTCTTATTTTTGTAGTATTTATCTAAAGATTATCGGTTCTTACTGGGCATGGTCGAAGTGATTCCGTTTCCGTGGTCCACTTTCCATTCTATGACGGGTATTGGCCATCCACTGACCTCGCAAGACAGAGCCACCGACCCTCCCGTTTTGTTGAATGCGTCTTCCGGAGGCGAAATTATTTTTGGAACTGGAAAAAGCGGGGAAAGAAGCGTAAACACGTTAAACGGCTGGACACACAGACGTACCGGTAGAGGAGCAGATACCTGTCTAGCTATTGTAAAGAAGGGCGTGTTTCTGCCCGAACAGGAGTTTATTGTGATGTCACGGTGACGAATTTCAAACTTTTAAACGCTTTTGTCGTAATGGAAAGCGTCACGCATTTCCGGTCAAAACAGGCACTTTATACGTGATTTGTTTGTTAAAAAAGGAACACTATTGACAAAAAAAGAAGTCGTTTCAAAGGCCGCGTTACGCCACAGGAGGGTAACGTCATTAAATATTATTATAGATACATAAACCATTAGTTCTAACATCTGTTTATGTTTACGTTACCACCGGGTGTTTTAATATCGAGAATAACCAAATCGGTAAAGTTACTCCTCCGCTGTTACGTCATGTGATGTGAGAACATCTGGCTTGTTGTAAAGTTAAGACGAGACGGGATGGTTCCATTTTAAAAGAACGGGTAACGTGGTCTAAATTAAAAAACAAATTACACAAAATTACAGCCAACTACTACCCGTTTCCATTGTGTTTACGGTGTTATCCTCCCTATCGTATCTTATTTGCTAACTTTAACAAATCGCGTTGTGTTTTTATCAACAGGGGTAAGCGATACGCGCTCGACAAATATTAATTTTACTGTTACTCCGCGTCACACGAGTAGTTCGAGTTTGACCTCGTGTGACGTCACTTAAGGGAGCGGCTTCTTCACACGGATAAACACAAGATCCTCTTTCTCTTTAGTGTAATGGAGTTCATTACCGAAAACGAGTCGAACGACGCGTCGCGGCGCATAATAATTACCAAATTGGGTAATGATCTGTGGCAAGTTTTCGAGTGAAAGAACTCTTTAAAAGGAACAAACTGGTTCGGCATGTGTGTAGGTTCCCCCGTTTTTTTCGCCAGTTTCTCGACCCAAGTTGTGCTTAACAATGCTCAAACTCGTTTCTAAAGCCATAGAAAGGGTTGAATTACGTTATAAGTGGGTGGTTTTCGGCGCCACCGACTGGCACCTATCCAGGGGCTATTTATAAATAAAACCCTGTTAGAGAAGAGTGAAAAGATTACTCACCAGATCTGCAAGGTCCTCTGCTCATGGCTCTCAACCCGTCCCGTTTTTTGTAACGAGCTTCGGTGAGTTGACACTCGTTGTCGTATGTCTGTCCGTCGCTGGCGCACAGAGCCTCCTGTTTGATACACTCGCAGGTGGCTTCGGCCGGGTCTTCCGGGAGTAGATCCGTTCTAAGTCGACATTCCAGGTTCTCTCCGCAGTATCCGTATTTATAGGTATAAGGGAGTGGCAGGGAGACGTTGTCGCATCGCTCGCCTTCGCGACGCGCGCAGACGTAGCAACAATCGCAAGCGTCTTTCACCATACCAGCCAGACAGTTTTCGGGGGGTCGACATTGCTGAGGCTTGCACGGGGGACAGTCGCGCTTGACTGCCACGGAGGCGGCAGACAGACAGAACAACCACACGACCCACTTCATGCCTGGCATCTGACGGAAGTGAAGTCGCCTCTTCTGTTTCGCTAGCGGCGAGCATGCGCCGAAAAACTGCTCCTCCTACGCCCCGTTACGTCATTGTATGGCTTGTAGTAGGGGTGCGGATTATACGCCGCGGCACGGTTCTTAAACTAAACGGTCGTTATCGCGATCGCGTGAACGATAGCGACTTTGATTCTAAATAAACTTAAAAGTAGTAACGGTAGCAACGTAAGTTAAACACTTCCGCCAGCGTTACGCCCACGCCGTTCTACAAAATTAAAGGACGATAACCTCGATTGGTGTTGATAATTCTTTTTTATTGCTGCTGTATATCTTTGTACAGAAAAACAATTTTAGAATACACAAACTTCTCCTCGAGTGAAAATTGTGCCACGTGGGTAACCAAAAAATGACGTAATGTGTGATCGTTTATCCGTGTTGATAATTCCCAAATTCCGGATATCCCGGATAGTAATTAGGTAGTTCTTGGGCCACGGGACCGTACGCTCTGTTCCAAGGGGGGTGCTCGTATCCTCGTTCTATATATTGCGGGTGAGGTTGCTGGTATTCTTTATACGGGCAACCGGTCTTATCCGGAGGAATGAGGACGTCTTCGATAACGTGGACCACCCCGTTTTTACCTTCCACGTCTAGTAACAGTATCGGTGCGTCGTTTACTCGGACTCTCTGAAGAGGGGGAATCGTATTAAAAATCACTAATTTTATGAATGTGGAGTTAATTATACTTACGTTATGCCACGTGTAAGTGATGGCTACCGAAGTGTTCTCGATTAACGTCTGTAAACAGGCTCCGGTTTTCAGGTGCCACGACATCTTCCTTTCTGGTATTACGTGATACTGCAAAACTCTTCTCAAGAACTGGTTATCGCCGGTTAAGTTATCCTTTATCTCCTTGTTTAGAACGTCGAAGGAGTGATTAGTGGGTGCAAATACGGTAAAGGGACCTGAAACGAAACGGCACGTCACGTCCCGCGCAACTACGAGACGATAAAAACGTAATTTCGACTCACCTTCGCCGCTCAGTCCTTCGTCTAATCCCGTCTGTTTCATGTATTCTAGTATCTGAGTTAATCCCAATTTCTCTAACACCTTTAACACGTTATCCGGTGGGCTGCTGTTCACTTTTTTGTAGTCAGTCCGGTGAATTTGGGGTATTTGGTGGGTCCATTCTCCCGTATTAGGATTCTCGATGAGTAATTCGTCGGGGTAGTATCTACATTGCCATAGGGCTAGAGTTTGTATCAACAGACACGAGAAAATCCAAGTTTTGAGGGTAATTTCCATGTGTTCTACGAACAGCCCAGGGAAGGACGAAGCGCCAAAATCAACATTCGTGCGCTTTTATAACAAGACAATTGAATTGCTCTATTATATATTTTTATGCCCCGAGGGTCAATAATTGCGACCTAAATGCCCACAAAAAATAAAAGTTTTTCACGCCAACCATGCTCGTTTTATTTGTTTTCTAATTATTCCATACTTTTTTTTATAGTATATTGTTGTTTAGAATTTAGAAAAGAAACTCCCCTCCGTCACGAACGTTTCTACCCTTTTCTAGAGGCGTTTCCTGTAAAGAAAAGTGTAATTTGTACGTATTAAATACACGAAATTTCTGGAAAAGTGATCATTCGAACTAGAACATATTAGAATGCTTAGTGAACCGATCAGCCTCTGACCTACAAGAAATGTTTACATAAAATATGGAAATGCGTTGCGTAATTTAAAATTATATCTAAAGATCTTACATTTAATTTGATTACATTTCAGCGTAGATTAATTAAACAGGAGTAACAACTGCACAGAGTTGTAGAAAATGGTAACTTGTAGTAACACTCTAACGTGGGAATACGATAGAAGTCAACACGTCCTTCATTTTTAAAACAAAGCGCATAAAATTCGAAATAAATTGCTCACTTTCCATCGCAAATTTTAGCCGTTACGCTTTGAAATCTCACCTTCATTCATCGTAGTATTGAGAAAACGGAGGAGAGAATATGACATAACTTGGTACGTTTCTCAACTTCTTTAAATTTACGTTAAACTGTAAAATAAAATGTCAAAATCGGGACAAATTCTTGAGAAATTTTGTAGAAAATTATCTCGAAAATGCAAAAAAAATGAGCCAGTATTAGTAATAATTTTGACTAAGTTTTAGTGTGTTGCAGTATGGAAGTTACAACGTGCAAACAATACAGAAGTTGCGGCCGACGTTTTCATCTAAAACGTCGAACGTTGAGCGCCGCCATCTTGTAAGCCTATAAGTTTGACAATGGCGTTTGGAACGTCGAGCGTGATTCTACTGACGTTCCAAACGCTATTGTCAAACTTCTAGGCTTACAAGATGGCGGCGCCGAACGTCCGACGTACAGTTTTCGCGATGAAAACGTCGGCCGCAATCAAATATTTGTGATTAGTAAGCATTCTGGCAATGCATCCGGTATCAAGGACAAAGATTCAGTATGTTGCGTCATTGGATAGACCCCAAAATTCATTTCGTGGCCCTCCAGATTCACGAAGAGTCGTCGTAAGAACGTACGAGACGATTTGAACGAGTTAATTTATATTCAAACCCTAAATTTAAGCGCAAACGAAGAACGTTATAAGCATCGTTTAACGTTTATTTACAATTAAAAATAACATTGACCTCCATTTCTTGGCAAACGTCGATCGAGGCCGACTCATTTTACTATTTTTATTTAACAATTTAGAATAGAGAACGACATATATATATATATATATGATTGAAATTGTAGAAAAGAATGCAATTATTTTCTACAATTTCAATTTTAACCAACGGGAAACGAGAATAAAGCAATTAATACGAAAGTACGAGACTATTATTTAAATTGGCTTAATCGATTGTGGGGTGAATTTTACATTTAATGACACTTTTACAAGTAAATTACTATTGTTTGAGGCGCCATAAATAGCAATATATTTCCGCGAATTTCCATAATTTAATAATAATCTGGGAATGGAACGTTTCACTGTGTGAGAAACCCCCCTTCGTTCTATTAATTTAAACTTTTTTTTTTACGTAATTATTACAAAATCCTCGTATTTGTAATTCCTCTGGATCCAATTTTTAACTCGGACGAAAAATGGCGCGACAAATTGTTTCGGGAGCGACGCCGCGTTTCGCGGGTTCCTATGCAAAAAAGTTGCGTCATCGCCGACGTAATTTTCGACGTAGATCCAAGTGCTGCAGGTCCTGTACACAATCAGACATTTCACGAGTTAGATGACCGATAGAATTCTATTGTTAAAGGAAAAGTATAATCTAAGTACGAGCCAGGTACGTACTCTTAGCCGTATGATTGTATTTATAGTGTACTCAGGCAGGGGCGGATCTAAGGTTTTCGGGGCCAAGAGCTTATTGAAGTCCAATGGTGCCCCATTTTTTGAAGTATTAAAAATTTATGATGATTTAATTTTTGTGGGCCCTTGACACTTGGGTGCCCGAGGCTTAAGCCCTATTAGTACATTCGCCCTGTGTTCGGGTCAGTCTGATCTGTACCATACTCGGTACGTTGTCGACCTTTAATCAGAGTTTTCTTCTTTTGCTGAATATAAGTTGTGTTCTTGTGTTGTTATTATTTATTATAGTTATAGTTTGTTAAAATTTTAATTTCAACTTGTTGAAAATATTTACAATGAAAAGCTACATTTTGACTTTTGTTGTGTTATGAATCACATTGATGAAGTTAAAATCCTTTTAAGAGGTAATAAGGAGCTAATAATTGCGGGAAATGGAAGTGTTGCATTTGCCCAACAAAAATAGACAAAGAAAACGTGCCAGTAAGTGAGAGAGACTGATATGTAGAAACTGCACCTTTAGTATGTGTACAAATTGTGCACTATATCCATCATTCTGGATAACAAACATGAACTAACCTTTCATTTGTTATGTTACGACAACTTTAGACACTGAAGCCGTAAACTTGAAGAGGGATTGGTAATTTTCCAATCAAAAATACATTGTTAAATAGGCAAAATGAAGTGAACTGTTTTAATCTTGGTCTCCATTAATTGCAGATAATTAAGAAAGACGAGATAAATACTACGTGTCTTACTATTGGAAGAAGAAACCTTTTAATTATAACTTTTTATATTTTTAATTATTATTGAATGGCAAAAAGCTTAATTTAGAGGGTAATGATTTTTATAAGAAATTGTAAATTTTTTTTTTATTGCTCTTTCTGCCCTATGGACACTAAGAGGGCCTCTTAAAGCAAACCCATTATGGGTTTGGCCAGGTCCATATTGGGGCGGCCGGGTGGCGAGGGACGGGGCAATAACATCTTCTTCCTTAAGTCTGACCTGTCTGGAGATATAACACGTGACACCCCTGTATCTCCCTAGCCCTTTAATTAAACTTGTTTCATTATAAAACTGAAAAGAAGACATTGAATTGACAAAGTGTATACTGTAAATTCTGAAATAAAGAATGGGGCTTTTGTAATGGTTAATTATTGAAAAACAAACATGGCAATGTAATAACTGATCCATCTCAAATTAATAGTGACTTGCCCCTATGCATCATACTTTTCCTTTAACAATGAAGTCATGATGGTCATGTATTAATTGGGGCCTCCTGCCTCTAAGGTTTCCATATCCGGTTTCATCTTTCATCTATCAAACTCGGTTCTCCAGCGGAATTTATAGGTCTACAAGTTTTTCAAATTGCACATTTCAAATACAACTTTTAAGGATGTCTACAGTTAGTCTATGATGACTAGGCTATGTTAAAATTACATGCAATTGATTGAATAGCGAGTTCTATAAGTAAAACAATATTTATATATTAATAAAATTAAAAAAAGAACTGAAAATGATGTTTAGCAATAACTTTATCATGAAAAAATTAATAAAAAAAAATGATTTATAATTAAGGATCATTATGGTTGGTTAAATTGCATGTAATTGTATCATCCTCAAAGTTGTATTTTATACATAGACACCATATTGTATTCATTGCCGACAGTAAACTTAGAGTTCTGCACCTTCCAGTCAAATGGTTATGCTCTGGGGATGGGATGAAATCTGGATGAGCAACCATGGGAATTTTTTAAGGGGTGACATCTGATAGGTAGGGCCCATCCTGTACCATTTGGTCAACCCCATTGCAGGCCTGGCCAAACCCAATTGGATCTATCATGTGCTATAATTCATTTAATTAAAACTAAAAAAAAATTGTGGTGTTATCGAAGATCTATCCAAAAAGGGCAGTTTCGGGTAAAAAGTGTGTAGAAAACTGATTTGTAGATCCTATTTTAATCATTATAAAACCTTCTGTACATTTTGTTTATAAACAAAATTCTATGTAATAAATTTTTAGCCTTATTCTAAATCTTAGAGCTTGAGATTAACAAAGCATTTCATTTTTTATCATTTACAAATTGTTAAATCTGTAACAACATTAAAACAGACGAAGTACACGTCTTTACTAAATCATCAACTTATGTAGAATTTATTCTAAAATTTTTATTGATAGAAAACATATGACATTATTAAAACTTTTTTGTGATTGTATTCTTAGCGTGTTTCCCTAACACACGATAAACATGTTCTATATTCTGAAAAATTTAAACTTTACTTAATACAAACCAGTGAAGACGCTTTTGCATCTGAAGCATTGGTTTGCTTCGATTACTACAGAATTTTCTATTTTGTGCGCCTTCATTCCGTCTACAGTTAAGCTCTTCTCCACGTTGTTTTTTGACTTTGCCGTCATAATGGCCCGTAAATCTCTCGGGTCTTTCAATTCCGTAAAGAGGGGATAACCGCGGTCTTCGTCTTCCCACCCCAACAACATGAAGCCGTAGTCTTCGNTGAATTTGTTATTTTTGTTTGTTAATATAAAAATATTTGTTATTAATTGAAAATTTGTTCTAGCGGGTGGAGACTGTTCAGTCAAGTACTGAGATACTGTACCTCTGTATTTGATTACTGCAATTTTAATATATGCAGTAGCATTGAGGGATTAATTAATTGCATTAATCAAGGGATACCTGTATTTTTCATAAAAATTTTTCTAATTAATGAAATTTTAATAGAATTCTAAATAGCAAACAGATTGTATAGGATACTTTAATTAAGTGGAACATAAAAATTACAACAAAACATATTAATTATTAATTCATCAAAAATGACTTGAGTGGAAGTAATGAAAAAGAAAAAGGAAAGAAAAATGAAGGGTGGATGAATGTCTGTTTAGGCGACGAGAGTTTGAATGTTGAGTTACAAAGGTGATTTGCTAGCCACTTCAAAGGGTAAGAAATGTATTCGGTATTCTTGCATTTATAATATTAGTTATGATCTAAGCAACTAATAAAAATTGATACAGTGATTTGTCTACTTTGCAGTTATCAAGTAGATGTAATTTTTTGAACATTTTTGCTTTTTTCAATAAATGATTTATTAAAAATTACTTTAGCCACCATCAAACTGTTAAGATCATAAATGATGTAATAAATGTGAGAAAACAGAATATCTTCCTACACTTTAAAATGTTCAGCAAATCGCCTCCGTAACACAATCTTTGAACTTTCATCAAATAAATGCTGTTATCTTAGCCTTAAAACTTTTTTTTTTTTTTTTTTTTTTTTTTTACTATTGAACACAAGACTGTGTTATTATTAAAAAACAAAGTAATGAGACTAAAGAAGAAACCAAGAATGTAGTATATGAAATCCCATGTTAAAGTATGGGAAGCTATTCAGTTTTCTCAGATTTATGATCTTAAGTTTCTTTTTCATTACTATTGTGCTACAGTTCTTGTCGAATGAATGAATAACTTTGGAAAAGTTTATGGTTTCTTGGTACTGTAAGCTTAATTCTAACAATAAGACACAAGTTTAATAACATTAATATGTATGATGATAAATCATAATTTACAACTTAACCAGATTAATTTTCTCTAACAGATAGAGTATTATTTGGCTTTTTACAACCTGTCCTCCTCACCTATTCCTATTTTAGGGCAGTCTTTATTCAAAATTCTTCCTCTGAAAGAGTTTTTATTTTAATTTTAAAATATTTTGTACATAATTAATTCTTTTGGAATATTGAAGGTGGGACTTAGTGTTTTTGTAAGGTAGGTTATGGATAGCAGAGTCTGCTGTTTAGAGTGTCTGCTATTTAGAGGTAAATATTATAGATGTCCTATTTGAAGGGTGTAGGGATTGTAAAAATGCTCGTTAAGTAGAGGTCATTTAGAAAGTAATGACCTATTGCACATTCCGGCTGCGCAGTTTGATCTCGGGCTACTATCCAAGGTCGAATAGTTTCCTCAATGCCTTTTCTCAGTGTTGTGTGAGTGCTAATCAAAACAAGTTGTTATTGTGCATTGTGTGATTGTCAACAATGAACAGTGTGATACAAAGGCCCGCTGACTGTGAGGTTAGAGGTCAGAGGCATTATTCGATTTTTGAATGCTCCGAAGTTGAAATCTGCAGAAATTTACTGTTAACTAAAGGAAGTGTATGGTGATACAGTAATGAACAAAAGAAATGTGAGTGTGAAATGTTTAACAATGGTGTGCATGATGAGACTTGACCCAGACATCCATCACTCATCACAGATGATTTGAAGAATCAAGTGAAGAACAAAATTGTGCAAGACAGACATGTAACCTTGGACGAGTTACAAGTTTCTTTCCCTAACATTTCTCATTCATTGCTTGGTGAAATTGTCTCTGAACATCTTGGCTATAGCAAAATTTGTGCATGATGGGTTCCTCGGCAACTGAATGACCGAGAATGGGTGCAGCGCTGACATTTTTGACGTGGTATCACGCAGATGGAAATGCCTTTCTTGATCAAATTGTTACTGGCGATGAGACATGGGTGTCTCAATTCACCCCAGAGACCAAGCACCAATCACTCGAGTGGCATCATCCCTCATCACTTAAAAAACTGTGAAAATTCAAACAAACTCTGTCAGCATGAAAACTCATGGTGATGGTTTTTTGGGATTGTAAGGGTGTTCTCTTGGTGGATTTCATGCCAAAAGACACTACGATCAATGCAGATCAACATTGTGACACCCTAAGAAAACTACGGCAAGCAATCCAAAATCATAGGTGTGGAATGCTTTCTTGCGGTGTTGTGCTTCTTCATGACAATGCCCGCCCTTACACTGCTGCTGTAACCGCAGGCTTGCTGGATCGATTTGGATGGAAAATTTTTGATCATTCACTCTACTGTCCTGATCTTGCTCCTTGCGATTTTAGCCTTTTCACGAAGCTCAAAGAGTTCTGGGCGGGAAACGTTTTGGAAGTGATGACGAGGTGAAGAATACAGTAAACAACTGGCTTAATGGACCGGTGGCAGCCTACTATGACACAGGAATTCTAAAGCACGTGGACAGATATGACAAATGCTTAAATAATGACGGTGATTATGTAGAGAAATAAAGTAAGTTTCAATTTTGTATGTGACACGTTTTTGTTAATAAAATATATTTCTTTCATTTATTAAAACCAAATGGTCGTTACTTTCTGGATGACCCTCGTATATCACTATATTTATATGTTTTTTGTTACTATAACATGACATGTGTTCATTGTTAGAAAGCACAATATGTATGAAATTTTGGACATGTACTTTTGGGGAGAAAAGGAAAAAATTTTATGAATAATTACAGAACAAAATTAAAAAGATATTAATGTTTTTTTCTTTAGTTTTCTTGAAAAATTACTGATATATATGCCAATTATCTTGCATTTGCTTTATTTGTCAATAAACATTATTTCTGTATGTGTGTAGTTACAAATAGCACTAGTGTTTTATTTACAAATTTGTTTATATTATTATTCTTCAAGCCCACTAGCTGCGAATGTCTTAAGGTAATCATGTGTGCTTTATATGTTAGTGTTGATCTTAATTTATATTGCATTGGGTTTTTGTTATTAGATAAAATTTCATGATATAACAGTCTGTTATTCTTGACATTGTACAGAAGTTAGGATTATAACAACTTTAATTCATTGCTGTTGTTATAATTTGAAAATGGGGACCAAGTTTTTGGAATATTTTTAATTCCATCTGTAGAAAATGCTTACTACTTGGGAATATAGGTATATACTTGAAATTAAATGCAATTATGTAAATAAATACAACCAATTTTGTTTTAAAAACTTTTATATATAATAATTTTTATTTAATAATGTAAATAATCCCAAGATGTATTTTATCAAAATTATTATTCAATTAATGAATTTTGTCTTTATTTTATAGAGATTCAAGTTCTCATGGGAAGTTTGTTGTATTTACGTCAAGGAGTTAAAAAATCTCCTTACAACTACTTATTGGATCCCATCCACTGGGCAGAAATCTGTGACGTATTCACAAGAGATGCCTGTGCTCTACTTGGACTGTCCGTAGAAAGTCCACTGACCGTCTGTATAAATGCGGGGTGTATAGCATTACCGGCATTATTAAACATCAAACAAGTTATGCAACAGAGACAGGTTACGGGAGTATGGAGTACCAGAGATGAATTACCAGTAAGTTTCATATAATTTTTTTAAAAAATATGGTTTTACATTGCCAATAACCAAAATTTCTAATAACAATTTTTTCAGATTGAAATAGATCTCGGACACAAATGTCGCTTTCATTCTATCTTTGCATGTCCCATTTTACGACAGCAGAGTTCAGACAGTAATCCGCCAATGAGATTAGTTTGCGGACATGTGATCTCGAGAGATGCTCTCAATAAACTTGCAAACGGCAATAAGTGAGTATGAAATTAAGCATAAATGCTTATATTTGATATTTATGAACAAGAATATGAAAAATTTGATAAATTTGGAAATTTCTTCTTTTCCTGATTTAAGAACTGACTGATTTTTTTGCATACAAATTGAATTCTATTTGTTGAAGAACTGTCTGTTTATACAAATTATAAAAGTCTCAGTTGAAGCCTCAGATTTTTACTACTACAGTAGAACCTGAAGTTAATGTTAATGGTACTTCGGATAACAGAAAACTCAGATAATATGGATGGCCATAATTATATTCTTGATTTTTAATCCAAAATGAAAGAATTTATAGTATATCATTTTAAATTCACTAAGATATAAAAAGAGCTTAAATCGTATAACTTAATAACAACAATTCAACAGTTTTTCACATTTAATTACACTGTTCTACTGTATTAACTATTGTTAAATTTTAAAAGGTAATTTAATATACAGCTAGCAGAAACAAATCATTCATATTAACTGAGAAATTTTTTGTAATACATGTTTCTTTTATGAATTACAGTATAAGAATAGTAGTATATTTGCCATTTACAAGTTTGTCTTAGATAACCGGGGTTTTACTGTAGTCTAACCTGGATGCTTTGGGTCTCTTTCCTTGCTACTTAACCATCCCTATTGAGCCTGAGCAACCAAAAATGGCCATCCAATATTCAATGTTTATAAAATTTGTGGCTTCAGTCAAAAAGAAAAAAGGAGGAAAACTGACTAATAGGAACCATGAGCTGTTTTTCATTATTTTTTAGTCATACATTTTGATTCACACGAAGTTGATTCTTAATAGTAATGGTGCTAAAACAATTTCAGATTAAAATGTCCGTACTGTCCGGTGGAGCAAAATCCTGCCGACGCTCGTCTCATCCATTTTTAGTCACATCTTCATCCGAATCCAGAGTGGCATTTTACTTTCTTTCCTCCTGGATTAAATTGAATACGTCCTTTTGTGAGTGTATATAAAATTATCTAAATCCGATGCTAAAATCTGTTCAATAAACCTAGTTAGTTATCATGCATATTATTTGAAATACCAAACGAAGACTTCTGTCTGTTATTGTATAAATTATTTTTTAATTAATAATATTGCTATTGATGTGTCAGTACTTAAATGGCCAATTTTATTTGTTTTTAATATGCATATTGTGTGGTTTGAAACTTATAAAAAAGGTAAATTTTTCAGATTTATGCACACCCATCTTTCTAAAATTGTCAGATGTGTACATACATACATAAATATATACCATATAAACAACAAATCACTCTGTTATGCAAACATTTTCTTATTTTAAACCCTGTGATGCACATGATTTGGATTTTGTAGCAAGTCTCCATCTGTAATTTTGTAAATAAAAATATTTGAATATGCCGACAGTTTAAAGAGAGCGTGAACTTTGTGTGCCGTTTGGACCCATTAATACATTTATGTTCTTGGAATCTCGATGGTAAATTGCAATTACGCAAGTGCTCCATCTGCACCTGTAATTACTACAGTGCATTTGATGAGTATTTTTTATCATTTGCACTTTAGAAACTCCACATATTATTGCTACTATCTAATTCGCATGATTACAGATCAGTTTTGTTATTTCTTACTTAAAATTTACCATTGACATTTCACTGATGTATCATAATCAGTGTAATTTATATAATAATAAACCAATAATTACACAATTTTAGACAACAATACAAATATTTTATTAATAAAAATCATAGTTTGTGGCAGTGAATATGAGTATGCTGTTTGGCACAGATGTTAAGTAAATGTAGTTTGTAATGGAAATTATTAATTAATACAGTAAATTTCTTTTTAATTACACAAAACCACGAACATAATCGGACAATTTTAAAAAACTATGTACACGATAGCACCATTGTGAAACTTTCCTGCATTTCAGCAGAAATAATTTTAAAAAAAAAGAAAAAATTTAATATTACATAAATGCATATAATTTTTCATTTGATATTATACTACAAATATAATTATTCTCTATAAATTATAGACAGAAAACTGCTTAAATATCCAGATAAGAGCCAAGAATAAGCATTTTAAAAAAGAACAAGAACTTAGTTTCAGATTTCATTTAGTTTAGTTTTTCCTGGAAAGAAAAAAAGAAAATTAAATCAGTATTTTGTTTAATTTATATAAAGGGTGACCTGAAAGTCAGTTAACCATTAAAAAAAACCAATTTTTCATTTATAAGACTACAATTTATATTCACTTGCGCTGTATATTAACAAAATATTGTTAATATACAGCGCAGTCCAAAATTCAAGGGTTGCTATATGCATACATCTTTCTTCTAGAGGTTAAAGGTTACAGTTATATTTTAAACAGGATATTATTTAGATTATACAAAGATTATTTATAAATTTTTTTTTGAAAAACTATAGAGGGTTGAAGGATAAATATTAATTTACATAATTATAATGTGTACTACAGTTATTACATAACTGTAGTACACATTATAATTATGTAAACTAATATTTATGTAATTAACTATAATAAACTAATGTAATTATGTAAACATGGGGCACTTCAAGCACATGCCACACTGTTCTGTAACTTTATGCAGTGAGTTAACCATGCATTTCCGGACATATATGCTTATAGGAGAATTTTTGTTTCTTGTCTTGGCAGTAATTACCATCCTATTATCCGAGTATTTTTTTTAATGGTCCAAGACTAGTGCATTAATTTCTATAACACTAAAGATAACTTAAACTACAAATATAAAATATTCTATTGATAAAGCAGTGTTTCATCTAGAAATGAATTAAGCTGTAACAGTTTAAAGTATATAGAACTTTATAGTAATCAAGAGATTTTTTTTTTTTTTAGAATTACAAACCTTATCAGCATCATCCTTGGGAAAAAATTACACTAATCTGTTCCCAAGGAGACAAAGGAAAGTACAAAAATTTTATATTTTAAACTGGAGAAGGGTTGAAGACGAGAATAAAACACTTACTAGGAATGTCCGTAACATAAATTCGGGCGGAAGCAGATGTTTCTCCTTCGTCGTTACGTGCCACGCAATAATAAGTTGCGTAATCCTGAACTCGAAGTCTCTGTACTTGCAACCAGGACGTCACCTCGTAGTTCCTAGGGCCACCTCGTGATTGTACAGAGATACGAGGAGTGTCGCCTGAAACGGTATTTTATCTACACATCTCTCTTATTTTTGTAGTATTTATCTAAAGATTATCGGTTCTTACTGGGCATGGTCGAAGTGATTCCGTTTCCGTGGTCCACTTTCCATTCTATGACGGGTATTGGCCATCCACTGACCTCGCAAGACAGAGCCACCGACCCTCCCGTTTTGTTGAATGCGTCTTCCGGAGGCGAAATTATTTTTGGAACTGGAAAAAGCGGGGAAAGAAGCGTAAACACGTTAAACGGCTGGACACACAGACGTACCGGTAGAGGAGCAGATACCTGTCTAGCTATTGTAAAGAAGGGCGTGTTTCTGCCCGAACAGGAGTTTATTGTGATGTCACGGTGACGAATTTCAAACTTTTAAACGCTTTTGTCGTAATGGAAAGCGTCACGCATTTCCGGTCAAAACAGGCACTTTATACGTGATTTGTTTGTTAAAAAAGGAACACTATTGACAAAAAAAGAAGTCGTTTCAAAGGCCGCGTTACGCCACAGGAGGGTAACGTCATTAAATATTATTATAGATACATAAACCATTAGTTCTAACATCTGTTTATGTTTACGTTACCACCGGGTGTTTTAATATCGAGAATAACCAAATCGGTAAAGTTACTCCTCCGCTGTTACGTCATGTGATGTGAGAACATCTGGCTTGTTGTAAAGTTAAGACGAGACGGGATGGTTCCATTTTAAAAGAACGGGTAACGTGGTCTAAATTAAAAAACAAATTACATAAAATTACAGCCAACTACTACCCGTTTCCATTGTGTTTACGGTGTTATCCTCCCTATCGTATCTTATTTGCTAACTTTAACAAATCGCGTTGTGTTTTTATCAACAGGGGTAAGCGATACGCGCTCGACAAATATTAATTTTACTGTTACTCCGCGTCACACGAGTAGTTCGAGTTTGACCTCGTGTGACGTCACTTAAGGGAGCGGCTTCTTCACACGGATAAACACAAGATCCTCTTTCTCTTTAGTGTAATGGAGTTCATTACCGAAAACGAGTCGAACGACGCGTCGCGGCGCATAATAATTACCAAATTGGGTAATGATCTGTGGCAAGTTTTCGAGTGAAAGAACTCTTTAAAAGGAACNTTTTATGTAATAATTTTTTAATACTATTAGTTTGTGATACATAATATATTATTTTTTCTGCCATAATAACTAACTTTTTTCTGTACCCCTAAACAACCTATCGCGTACCCCTAGGGGTACGCGTACCACAGGTTGGGAATCGCTGCTCTACTGTATTATCTGATCAATTTGTGTACTTATGTACTAAAATAATAATCAAGTATGTTTGCTTACTCAATCAAAAATGTTTCCTACATAATGTTTTATGTATCTAATGCTTAATAGTTATTTTTTAAATAGAATGTATCTTCTACATGTATACTGTGTATGGTGTTTTATGTATCTTCTTTATGTTTAATATTTAAAATATTTGTGATTAGTGAGTTAAATATTCTTTGAAATTTATGACACAAATCATATGTAATTACAGACTTAATTATTAGTAAGAATTCTGATTTTTCAGTACTGACTTGTGGATAATACTCTTGCTAATCTGGCTGTTTCTTGCACAAATGTATTCCAGGTTAGAGAGTGCCCTCTATTATTGCATTTATAGGCCTACAGGCAACAAAAGACATGACCCGCCGCCTTCTGTACCAATTCGTTTTGGAGGCAAAGAAACAAATATGGCACACAAGCGTACGATACTGTAAAAAAGCTGAGCAAACAGGAAAGCACGACATGACTGACATTTTCACGGTAACGGACGTGCATAGGCAATCATGCCGAATAATTGAGAGGCCAGATTGAGAAATACAAGAATAATAATAGCAAGAAATAAGCAGGTAATACGAGCAAGTCCAAAAAGAATAAGTTTATTGACATAATGTAAAATTTGCTCAAATATCAATTAAATTGTTATGCAAAACAGACTTCAACCAAACGTATAAATATGTTCTTTATCACTGTCAATATGTATATAAGAAGGAAGACTACATAGTACAAGCGTGTCACAAGAAGAGAGAAAAGTTATCCAGGAGACAAATCATAAACATGGAGATTAGAAGAAAGCAGAGGGAGATCAAAGTTGAGACGAATGAACATAGTTCAAATGCACGCGAGGGTAAAGAAGTTGATAAACAGTAGGGCCACAAATCAGATCTTCATGTAAGTATGATAAGCTGCAGAAAGAAGAAATATCAGTCTCTCTTATATGTTATATATATTCCATTTTCATATAATGATTATCAATATTAATTTATGAAACTGAGTATAATGTATCTTTTGCATTCTCAGATAAGAAAACATTCAACAGCAAATTCTTTAAATAATTGTTTCATAATAAGTTGCAGGTACTGGAAACTTTTCTACAATGCTATTGCAGAGAATAGAATTCCCCAATTAGAGGATATTTTAAACACATTTTGTGGAAAATTTATTATGTCAATCAGGAAACCACCAGTTAACCCAAAACAGTATTTAAGAGGCTATTCACATTAAAAGGTAAGCACAATATGGTAGTATTTGCAATAGAATGATCCAAGACTATCTCCAGACATGTTAGGAGATGTCGCACAAAGACGAATCACAATAATATTGATTCACCAGACTATTATATTAATATACATGTACGTAGAAAAATAATTAACAAAAACTCATTCTTAAAAGGAAGTAAGATATTTAATAACAACATTTAATATATTTTCCATTTTATTTTCATAAATAATTAAGAAAAACATCCCAAATTCTTTTTACCAAGGTACAGAAGTTGGTTGTTAATTGATATTAAGTAATATTGAATGAATTTTATTTATTAAATTAAGAAATATCAAATTGAAAATGGTCTTCTGATGTTAAAAGCAACTCGGTTTCAACATCAGAAGACCGAATACATACAAAATATCCAATCTAAAACTGTTTTTAATTTTTAATAATTAAACTTACGTCTTCGTTAAGATAGAACGACTTTCCCTTGGTTGTCTCTCCCGCATTGCAGTAGGCGGCTATGCAAAATATAACAGCTTCTGCACTAAATTTTTTAATGATGTTTTCTGAAAAACCAAAATATATATCATTATTTATAACAGAATCTGTACATTGAGTTAAATCATAAATTCTAAATTATTGTAAACGGTAACATTTAAATGTATTATTTAGATATGAAATAAAATATTTTACCAATGTCAAGATTCTAAAAACAATACCAAGAAATCTCTCTATTTTCTTTTCATTATTATTTATTATTGAATTGAAGCAAACTTTTTATGCCGATCGCAAATCTACTGTGGTCCGAGCCTAACTACAATCGGTGAAAGTAAAAACAAATTCTGATCTATCAATGAAAAATTCTGGATAGATCACAGATTCTCATTAAGAAAACCTGAAAATTTGAAACCTTTCTGTTAATATGTGAATACTTTAATTAATGCAGTCAACACATGCAAATATAAACAAACTTTGTGGAATAAATGAAAACACCATTGAAATCAAACTGTACTTTGACTTTTGAGTATTATGATGAAATCCAAATAAGTAGTTAAGCAAGCAATAATCAATCTGAAGATAGATGCAAATAAATTTTGGAATATTCTTAACGTCTCTCTTTTTACACTAGAGTAACTTAATAGAAAACAGTAGAAATGACCTCCTTCCATAATTAATTAACCAAAGGTCGTGCAGGTCAAAAAAATCGGGAGGGTTGTGTACGCAACATAATTGCAATCATTTAAAGCTTGAATCTGTCTTTGTATTATTAGAGGAAGGATAAGATATAAATGAATAAAGTCTTGGTAGTTATCACAAGTCAATATCTATTGGTTCAAGTGGCAGCACACTCTAAATATTCACATCAGTTGATGTGATTGGTTTCCTTACACACACTATATAATCTGCATTGTTCGGCATTAGTCATTTTGGGCTTTTCTGATTCCTTTTAAATGTTTCTTTCTAACGATTTACATTTCTGTTTGAAGAAATTGCAAAGAAAATATAACCATTATTGGCTTGTAAGTTTTGTCATTCTGTACAAATCAATACAAATTTCAACATCCTATCTCTTCGTGATCCAAAGTTATACTGTCCAAATGCTGTGCATTTGGATTGTGCCATTTTCAGTGTCACACACAACTGCAAATCCCCCTCACAGCTGCACACCCCCACTACTCACTAATTTAAATACAAACATAAACCTTTTATACAAGGAAATTTTAATCATTAGATTATGATTTATAGTTTATGAGAGATAAGTGTGAAATATCTTGTTATTCTTTCGGTCACTAGTTTTTGTACATCCCCTATACCAAAATGAATTTAAAGACATTCAGATCAAAAAGGAGAGAGAGAGTGACAGATGGATTGCACAGTATTTGCAGATTCCGACTTTCTGTAAAAATCTTATTCCCTGACTTTCCAGGTCTGTGCAGACACTGGATGTATTATGAAGAACCAAAATTTACATTGGTCTTTGGACTGCAAATGTTTTCAAGATCTTTGTCTCCATTCAATTGTTATGCAAGTAATGATATTGTCTTTGAAAGAAAGAAAAATATAAGTATTTAAAGTAAATTTTAAATCTAATATATTTAACATACACAAGTGTCGAAAACTTAAGGACAGATTACATTTTTCTATTAGTGTGCAAATGTTGACAAATACAAATAAATAAATTAAGGGAGAACTGTATTACTCAACACACAGGATAATACACAACACGTTGGATTTTACAAATCAAAGCAACGAAAGTAAGTCTTTGGTGAGAAAGATACATACAACTGTTGGATGGATGGAAAGTGCTGACCAATATCTCTGTACAGAGACTTGTCAGCTAGGAATATATCCACCTCAAACTGTGATACAGCACTCACAATGTCGTGGCAGGCTAGTCACAGACCGGCTTGGTGACTTTTCCACCTATCATCATTAGCTACTGTGTTTGTCCTTAAGTTTTGGACATGTGTATATTAGGATCTGAACTGAATCCTTAGAAATTTTCATACAGCATCCAGGGGTAATAAGAAAAACAGAAGACAATCACATGTATGTATATTAATGCTGCCTATTGTAAATCNTTCGATGGCGGTTATCACACTTACATCTTCGTTAAGATAAAACGACTTTCCCTTCATTGTCTGTCCCGCATTGCAGTAGGCGGCTATGCAAAATATAACAGCTTCTGCACTAAATTTTTTAATGATGTTTTCTGAAAAACCAAAATATATATCATTATTTATAACAGAATCTGTACATTGAGTTAAATCATAAATTCTAAATTATTGTACACATTTAAATATTGGTAAAATATTTTTTTTACCAATATCAAAATTCCAAAAACAATACCAAGAAATCTCTTTATTTTCTTTTCATTATTATTTATTATCAAATTGAAGCAAACTTTTTATGCCGATCGCAAATCTACTCTGGTCCGTGTCTAACTACAATCGGTGAAAGTAAAAAAATTCTGATCTATCAATGAAAAATTCTGGATAGATCACAGATTCTCATTAAGAAAACCTGAAAATTTGAAACCTTTCTGTTAATTAATGCAGTGAACAATGCAAATATAAACTTAAACTTTGTAGAATAAATGAAAACACCATTGAAATCAAACTGTACTTTGACTTTTGAGTATTATGATCAAATCCAAATAAGTAGTTAAGCAAGCAATAATCAATATGAAGATAGATACAAATAAATTTTGGAATATTCTTAACATGTCTCTTTATACACTAGAATAACTTAATAAAAAACATTAGTAGAAATGACCTCCTTCCATAAGCTATTCCCTGCCTAAACATAACATTGTAAGAAATTCTTTCTAATGTCTACATAGTTAAAATTGTGTAAGTTGAATAACAATAAACTAAGATGAATAATTGCTATTTACAACCCGAAGATGCCAAATAAGTGCTGGGGGGGTCAAATATAGGTTTTATTGTTTCCAACACACATAAAAGGGAACATACAGGGTCCATGCAGGTAATTCCATCTGTGATTCCCTGACCAATTATGTTATCTCTGACCTATTAATCAACTCTCTGTATTTCCCCTTTCCAATGTTTAATATTTGGCTGTCTATTTAAGCCCACTTTGTACACAAATATATAAATTGTTTTAAAAAACACTTTATTCACTTACAAAAAACAAAAAACTTGGCATATAATTGATTATGTAATTTGCTATCTCATTTTAAGTCATAAAAATTTCATGCATTTTTAAAAATTAATTCATAAATTTTATTTAAATAAGACAAAGACTCCTGTTGCATCATAAAATCAAATTTTCTTACAGAGAGGAGGCAGGAAATTCAAAATAATTTAAACAGAATAAATTGCACACTCCAGCAGAGGGAGATATTGCTTATCGTATGCCAATTATGTTCCAGCACAGATCCATTAAAGGTCATTACATTTCTTACCATTCCTCCCCAATGCTTATAATGGAACAGAGTTTTGGCAGAAAAGTGGGATGCTGTCAATGATGTTTATGAAAACCCAATTTTAAATCTATGTCGATATTTCGGTATACTTCAAAATTCCATAAGCCATCTGAAGATAGAAATTTGTAGTTGGAGAGAAGTCATATTACAGAACATCAATCTGTCAAAATTGGCAGGATTATCATCTCCACATAATGCATGCGACCAGCAGTGAAGAACACAACAAATAAAAATACATGAATTGCCTCCCCCATGGCATCAACTAACTGCAAAGGGTTAATTAATTAACCAGATGTCGTGCAGGTCAAAAAAATTGGGAGGGTTGTATACATGACATATAGATAGTTGCAATCATTTAAAGCTTGTATTATTAGAGGAAGGATAAGATGTAAATGAATAAAGTCTTGGTAGTTATCACAAGTCAATATCTATCAGGTGAAGTGGCAACACACTCCAAATATTCACATCATAGTTGATGCGATTGGTTTTCTTACACTCTCTATACAATCTGCATCATTTGGCATTAGTCATTTTGGTCTTTTCTGATTCCTTTTAAATGTTTCTTTCTAATGATATACATTTGTGTTTATATTTTCTTTGCAATTTCTTCAAACATTATGAAAATTTTCTTCAACTTGCACCATTATTGGCTTGTAAGTTTACAAATTATATTTTATTGGTTATTATTACTAATAATATTGTAAGTTTTGTCATTCTGTACAAATCAATACAAATTTCAACATCATATCTCTTCGTATATTAGGATCTGAACTGGATCCTTAGAAATTTTCATATAGCAACCAGGGGTAATAAGAAAAACAGAGGACTGTAGCGCTTTGCGGCTATTTATGTATATTATTTTTTACTTTATTTTTTTTGTTTGTTTTCCATTTGTGAGATGTCTGTATTTGTTTGAATCCGTCTCTGTTTCCTTCTTTGGTAACACCAGTTCTCTGCTGACGGGGTGTGTGACGTGGTGTTTGGCCCAATGTGCGGTCACAACATCTATTGGTGGGTGGTATAAAAACAAGGGTAACCCACGTAAAGAGGCTTTTTTTTCGGGGGATTTCTTCTTACAGGAGTGACCAGAAGACACGATAGGTTGTGAGGACTAGGAAAGAGGTATATGAGTACCAATCGTCCAGGGATTGAACAAATCTTGGACCGGGAAGGGAATCCATTTCATTGAGGCAATACATCAAGAAAAAGATAAAGGATCACCATTAAAGCAAGGTAAAGGACTGCCTATAGTATTGCTATGACCGACGAATACATATGAGATTTCCCATCACTCCAAAAAGCAATGGGAAATCGTATGTATTATTGTATACTCTTTTCCTCAACTGTTTATTTGATGTTACTTTAATGTTATCGGTTTTTGTACGGTCTATCAGGAGAAAAGAGGGTTCCGCATAAGAAAGGAAGGTCAGGAGAGGGAGAATCGGCGTAGGAACATTATTATAACACAATCAAATTTTGAATTGTGTATTTGTTCCCAATAAACCTTTGTTTACAAAACCACGCTGTTATGCCAACTATTCATTTTAACTGTTATTTTTTTGTTTTGTTCATCCCCACAGACCATGTGCTACAGGAATATCTACAGGACAATCATATGTATGTATATTAATGCTGCCTATTGTAAAACCTAATGCTAAGCCAATGTATATTGTTGAAGTATTTTTATAAATATTAATTAACTTCTAAATGAAAATAATATATTTTTCTTATTGTTATATTTCTTTCTTCAGAACAAAATGTATAACAAATTTAACATATCACAGTAATTTAAGTGTTTGGGCATTAATGACATAGTAGAAGAAACAAATATGTTTTTCTTATTTAAAACAATCATTAAAATATAATAATACCTGGATTAAGATAAATCTCCTTAAAATCTTTACTCTCTGAAAACGTCAAAAGTATTTCTTGAGCCTTCTCAAAAATCCACTTGCCGTCTGCGGGACTTAAAAACCACCCGGTAAACCAAGGCACGACTTCTTCCCACTGTCTAAGTCTTTCTTCAAAATAATATCTTTTCAATCCTTTTGCGTTTGACTTCTCCAATACCTAGATTATTAAAATAATAAAAAAACTTTATATGGAAAATATATTTATAAATGGTAATTTATTATTATAGAATGTCATAAATGAACTGATCAATTCATCAATATTCAAGATTAAATTGTTAGAATTTATTTATTTGAGGTCGGTCACACATTTCTTTAGTATGAAATCTATAACTAATCTAAAATGACTCGGATCCCGAGCATTATCTAGATTAAACTATTTCTAAATTATTTCAAAACGACGAGGCACTTTGCCAGGGTATGCTGATTTAGTGGTCTTACGATGCTCATACAATCAAAGAAACCGACACTACTGCTCTTTTGTTTGAAAATCCTATTTATTCGTAAATCAAAACATTAGTTAGATACAATAAAGAATTATAGAAAAGTTGTATCTGAAACAGTCAAGCATACATTCCAATATGCATTGATCTCAGCCACAATTGATGCACTGGTGAACAGTTTAATAATCTTCGATTGGAACATCTGGAAACCTAACAAATTGTTATTCGTAATATTTAAAATTATTAACATCTAAAAGTGATAAAAATTCTAAAGATTTTGTCTGAAAATCTGTCAATACAATTATAATTAAATATAGTTTTGTAAAGAAATGTACATAGAAATAACATTGAATATTCTTTACTTTTTAAATCTTAAAACAATGCACTCAGTCAAATAGCTCTCTACAAGTGGCTACTGGATAGAATCATTCGAAGCATTATATAATATTATGTTGGGTAACATCCACCAGCTTAACTGCCAGAGGTTGGTGCTCTGTAAAGAATCAGCTTCTATGGGTTTTATGGGAAAATAGGTTTTTTCCACTTCGTAATTAATCACATATTGATTCTAATTAACCCCAAGATCTCGCACAATCTTATAATTGTATTTGGATGTATAGATATTTGTAATAAAATACATAAAATTAATATTTTATTATAACCGCATTAAGAAATTAACAGTATGCTAAAATATGAAAATAATTGCACAATATGTATTTGTATTTTAGAAAATACAAGGGAAGTGGTGCTTCCACAGCTTCTATGGACAACACTCCATGGAGGATGTGGCCATATTGCTGACGAACTTCTCAGTTACTCAGCTTACACCATTTGTCACTGCATTTACCAATATGCAGACTGTGAGAGTACACAGGGCAACAAATTTCTATAGAGATGTAACTTTTAATTTTCAAACTAGGGTGTGACACGCTGGGTACAGCTGTCATTAATCAAATGTAATTTTGTGCCTCCAGGTCTAAGTGTCACTACAGCCAACGCATGACTGACTAAAGACAAAGGTCAGGGGTGCAGGGTTGCCTAACTCGGTCAAGGGACAATTTGGTGTGGTCAAGTCCCCCCTGGGGTTTACATAGGTAACACATACCTTTGTATTGACTTGAAATTTCCTAGTTGTTTCGGATATGAGAACAGTGTAGCAATTTCCTCTCAATACGTTCAAATAGAATTCTATTTCCCAACTACGGATGTGAGAATTCTTAACAATGACAACAGGTTTATTCTGGCGGCAATACTCTTCCAATCTTTAAATAATAAAAATTCATTACCTTAAATATATAAATTTTTTCAACTTTGCTACAAATATTAATTAACCTTTATAATGAATGCTTTGAATATATTTATGTCTAATTTTAAATGATTAAAAATATATTTATTAAAACTTATTTAATAACTTAAGTGTTAACTGTTTTATATTGGAGAGTTATGCCTAACTGTTAAACAGTTAAGTACTGTAATCAAGTCTTTTCCATATGAAAAGGATTGTATGGCATATTTGCTTAACTGCTTGTCATCTAGATCCACTTACCTTTCTTTACACCAGTCATGGGATTTTTGTAAAGTTTCCTTGTTTCTTTCGGGGGCGAAAGGTAACAAAAAATAATAATCTGCAGAACAGGCGACCGAATTTTTGTATGCATCAAAAAGGAGATCCCTTAACACATCTTTCCATGTGCCTGGAAAACCTCTTATCACAAAAGCAATTCTGCCATGGTTCTTCAAATACTCGATAGTGTCTTTGTCGGTCAAATAAACGAAATCAAATACTTTTTCTGGCGGTACGTCGTCATTGGGAACATATTTTGGACGAGAACCTCCACTTATTTTTTCTTTAACTTTTTCTAGTAAAGAATATTAAAAAAGGTAAATTTTAAAATTAATGATGAAAACAATTTTTATACACATTGATATTCTTTTGTTGTAATGATAACATATATTTTCTTTATTAAATATATCTTAAATTATTTTCATTGAGCAGATTCTAGAATGAATCCTAATGCAAGTTTTATTTGAGTTATTAAATTTTCTATTGGCGAATTCTTAAATCATACACAATGTTTTATTCTCAACGAGTTTATGTGAATTTTTGTGAGTGAATGGACATTCAGTATACAATATTCATAAACAATTTGTTTTTATCTATCAGAAAAATGTTTATAACCAAGAAATTAATTTAAAACATTTGAATCTGGAAGACAATGATAAACCTCTGATAGTCTGTGTTACAGAGATGATTGAAACAAGACTGGTGAACACGCGGACGAACAAAACAATGAAAGTTGTCTACAATAAAAATTTTATTGTCAGTTCGTGCGGTTATACATATACAAGATTCTTTAGGATCCCAACTTCAATATATATCCGATTTTTGTAATATATTTATATATTGGTACAAGAGAGTGACACGTTTTTCATGACAATATTAAATTTTACTTAACTTATATTAATCTAACTTATATACTAATGAAGAAATATAGAATGAAAAAGTTGTTATTAAGAGTATGAGCAAATAAGAATAGGACAAAATGCTGATGGGGTACCCCAGTTTTCTTTCTTCCTTCCTTTAGACGTCGCTAGTATCAAGGCAAAGACTTGCGTTGATCTTCCTTCCTCCCTTCCTTTCTGTTGGATATTTCTCTAGACGTTCACAGATCTCGCAGTCCTATTTTGTTTTGACGACCAGGACCTCTTCCTTTCTCCGTCTGTCTCGTCCAAACGCTAGCTCTAGAATGAATGCCTCTCTCCCCCCGACTTGCCTCAGGGTCTCTTTTCCCTACTCTTGTTTTTTGTTGTATTCCCTAGAAGACGTTTATCACCCGCCGGGAGGACAGACCATTAGAAAGTTCGAGAAAGTTTATAGACAAAGGAATGAGGAAACTTAATATTAAGTTTAACACTAATGACAAATATATAAACATTTGGTGTATCACCACAAGATGTTTTGAATCATCAATAGTCGCTACATTAAAGTGTCCACCAATGGTCCAGTGGCCAAAACCAATGAACACCAATAGTCGATCGTGAATTTGCACCTAGCCAACGGGCTACTTATGTGGGGTTTTTGTCGTGTTTGCAACATTCAAATAAGGACCAGTTTCCCATAAAAGATCTCCTGGGAAACATTCTTCCTAGGCAGATCACCCACGTATGATTGCCATATACAAAAAGCAAACTACATTGAATCTTGCCTGCAAATAATTTTAACTTATTCAATTAACTGAAGATAAACAAGTTCCTAGATTGGCTCAACAGGTGTATATGAAACTGTGCTACCATTAATTAGTTAACCAGTAATTAATAAGTACAGTAGAGCGTCGTTTATCCGAATCAATTGGGGACAGGTCGTTCGGATAACTTATTTTCGGATAACCGATCATGTACGTAAAAATATATTAACCTATACCGTGTTGAAATTTTTCTCCGTTGCGTGTCGCTTCGCGTTGAATTTTCGTCGATGTTAAGCCTAACATAATCTTTTTAAAATAATAATCGTGNATATGTTTTTCTTATTTAAAACAATCATTATAATAATACCTGGATTAAGATAAATCTCCTTAAATTCTTTACTCTCTGAAAACGTCAAAAGTATTTCTTGAGCCTTCTTAAAAATCCACTTGCCGTCTGCGGGACTTAAAAACCACCCGGTAAACCAAGGCACGACTTCTTCCCACTGTCTAAGTCTTTTTTCGAAATAATCCCTTCTCAATCCTTTTGTGTTTGACTTCTCCAATATCTAGGTTATTAAATAAATAATTTTATAAGAAAAAGATATTTATAAACAGTAATTTATTATTATAGAATGTCATAAATGAACTGATCATCAATATTCAAGATTAAATTGTTAGAACTTATTTGTTCGAGGTCAGTCACACAGTTTATTATATCAACCAAATTTTTACCTTGAAAATGTGTTTGTAAAAATGGAGCACTCTCGAATTTAAAGCAACACAATAATAAATTATCAAAAAATAAGGACAGTGCACATACATGCATTGGGTGCCACAGAAAAATTGCCATGAAACTTGAAGATAGCTATGTGTATGACATAATGCATTTACAATTACAGTAGAGCATTGATTATCCAAATGTCGATTAATCGAAAGCTTTCCAGTTGGCAAATTTAAATTTCCGCTAGTGCTGTAGCACTGACATCTTTGGCTATGTCTTGGGCTATTCCAATATTATTTTTGTTGGTGTGCGTGTTTTAGCTGGCAGCACTGGAGCAACCATGAAAGGGCACTAAACGACGTGCCAGGATTTGAACTAATTTCAACATGGGATAAGTTAATATATTTTTTCATACATAATTGGTTATCCAAAAAATCGATTTTCCGAACAACCCCAGTCCCCAATTGATTCGTATAATCGATGCTCTACTGTATCTACTATGCATGTGAAATATACGTAGTAAATATGTGATTGTCTGCTATAACTTATATATACATAACAATTGAAATAATTGGTCGTAGTTAGTGTAACATGATCACCTATGCTGCAAGAGTTGAATCTTTTCCAACAATTCAGTGTTAGCAAAGTAACATAAATGTAAGTTATTGCAAATGTGCTGCTTTTACGTTGCACGTCACATTGCATCATCTTCACAATACAATTGTTAAATTTTTACATACTGTTGTGTCTGTAAAATAAACGACTCTTGTTAACGTATATAATTGACTTTATTATAATCAAACATAACTTTGTGCCTCCAGGTCTAAGTGTCACTATAGCTAATGCACAACCCCCTGGAGACAACCGAACATGACAAAGGTCAGGAGTCGGGTGTGGGATCGCCTAACTATGTCAAGGGGCAATTTGGTGTGGGTTATTCCCTGGAGGTTTACATACGTAACACATACCTTTGTATTGACTTGAAATTTCCTAGTTGTTTCGGATATGAGAACAGTGTAGCAATTTCTTTTCAATACTTTCAAATAGAGTTCCATTTCCCATCTACGAATGTGAGAATTCTTAACAATGACAACAGGTTTATTCTGGCGGCAATACTCTTCCAATCTTTAAATAATAAAAATTCATTACCTTAAATATATAAATTTTTTCAACTTTGCTACAAATATTAATTAACCCTTATAATGAATGATTTGAATATATTTATGTCTAATTTTAAATATTTAAAAATGTATTTATTAAAAGTTATTTAATAACTTAAGTATTAAACTGTTTTATATTGGAGAGATATGCCTAACTGTTAAACAGTTAAGTACTGTAATCAAGTCTTTTCCATATGAAAAGGATTGTATGGCATATTTGCTTAACTGCTTGTCATCTAGATCCACTTACCTTTCTTCACACCAGTCATGGGATTTTCGTAAAGTATCCACGTCTCTTTCGGTGGCAAAACGTAAAGAAAAATAATCATCTGCAGAACAGGCAACCGAATCTTTGTATACATCAAAAAGAAGATCCCTTAACACTTCTTTCCGTGTGCCTGGAAAACCTCTTATCACAAAAGCAATTCTGCCATGGTTCTTCAAATATTCGATCGTGTCTTCGTCAGTCAAGTAAACGAAATCAAATACTTTTTCTGGCGGTACGTTGTCAATGGGAACGTATTTTGGACGAGAACCTCCACTTATTTTTTCTTTAACTTTTTCTAGTAAATGATATTAAAAAAGGTAAATTCTAAAATTAATGATGAAAACAATTTTTATACACATTGATATTCTTTTGTTGTAATGATAAGATATATTTAATAAAGAAAATATACAAATTATTTTCATTGCATTAGGATTCATTCTAGAATCTGCTCAAGTTTTATTTGAGTTATTAAATTTTCTATTGGCGAATTCTTAAATCATACACAATGTTTTATTCTCAACGAGTTTATGTGAATTTTTGCAAGTGAATGGACATTCAGTATACAATATTCATAAACAATTTGTTTTTATCTATCAGAAAAATGTTTATAACCAAGAAATTAATTTAAAACATTTGAATCTGGAAGACAATGATAAACCTCTGATAGTCTGTGCTACAGAGATGATTGAAACAAGAAGTTTTGGATGATCAATAGTTGCTACATTGAAGTGCCCACCAGTGGCAAAACCAATGAACACTGATAGTTGATCATGGATTTGCACCTAGCCAACGAGCTGGTTATGTGAGGGTTTTCTGGGTTTTGCCATGTTTGTAACATTCAAATAAGGACCAGTTTCCCATAAAAGACCTCCTGGGAAGCATTCTTCCTAGGCAGATCACCCACATGTGATTGCCATTTACAAAAAGCAAACTACATTGAATGTTGCTTGCAAGTAATTTTAACTTATTCAATTAACTGAAGATAAACAAGTTAATAGATTGGCTCAACTGGTGCATATGAAATTGTGCTACCATTAATTAACCACTAATTAATAAATATATTTTCTTTGTCTCTAATCACATACATACATACATACACTTGTTTCATTCAAAAGTAATAGTTTTATTTTATATATTATAAACAATGTATGGTATAATTTTGTCCCATCACAATTAATCAAACCTTTAATTTACAAGGAAAAGTGCTAAACAAAGAAGTTGATATGACAAAACTAGCCCATTCAACACCAATCAATAGCAATAAAAAATAAATTTCAAAAAGTTTTGACAAAAGGCACAGAGATGTTAAGCTTTGGAATGGAAGAACAATTTGCATTTCTCTATGTTTCAAGATCCCCAAATCCAAACATGTAAAAATCTTAAGGGGGTCGCTTTTGGACCAATCTTCGTACCTTCCTTCCCTGGCTGTTACAACAGCCAGGGAAATTGAATAACCTTTTAAAAGGAAATATATTTTAATGTCTTTTAAATTAAATTTTTACCACTGATTTTTAAAAATGTAGTCTAAGCTATATGGATTTAAATTGATTTTTATTAATGTATAACAGCTGTTCTTTAAACAGATGAATATGATAAATCTACATTAGTCTATCTACACAATATTAATGTATAATTGTAATTATTGTAAATATTTACAATATTAATAATTACAATACAATGATGTTGTATAGATAGTACATTAAGCTACAAAATTAAGACAATTTAAAATATACATAAATAAATTCTAAAATAACCATACCATCGTTTTCTTTTCTTCTAGACCATGCCATTTTCTGTAACAAAAACATATTTTAAACAAAACCCAAAATGGTTAATCTTGTTGTGATATTGTAAATTAAAATCATAATCATTTATAATTATCTTTAATAATAAAATAATGTTTAATTAGGTATTATGTCATTATTTTTACATATATATAATATCTACGAAGTCCTTACATACTTTAAAACTGCAACAAGTAACATTCTATATGAGATAAAAATAAAGTAGAAAAACATTGGAAAGATAATTTATTCTACATTTTTACGAGAAATTCTTTCCAAGCAGCAGGGCCGAGAGAGAGACGCCAAGAATAAATTACCTAAATTTGTATCTGCCGTTTACCCTTGGCTTTTAAAGACCCAGATATCCCATTAGAAGACTCATCGTCATCACCATCTCTACATATTTCATAAACACAATTTTCCAAGATTTTTATTAGGAATAATTTTCTGGTATTATTTATGTTTATGCAGTGGGGAAAGAGGCTTGGCAGAATGCCAAATTGGTGCGACTGTGTTGAAGACAATTATCAAACATGGATCGATTAACTTCTTTGTTAAATTTCTCCTCGCATTATTTCTAGTGTGAGAACCAAGGGGGTAGAGCGACGAGCTGCTCCCCAACTACCGGCGGCTCTCGTCAGGTATGGCTATATAGGAGGGCAAACAGTGAGTGGGGAGGGGTAGTGAGATCGTGACAAGGTATCGATTGCACTCGGGGATGATTCAGAATTGAACATAAAATAAACACATTTAATTAACTTAACTTATACAAATCAAAAGGTTACAATAATTCATCTAATACAATTCTACCTAACTACCTAAGATTTAATTCTAAAGACATAATATAGCCGAATCTTAAACTATGATCGAGAGCGTGTCGAGGAACGAAACAGAGAGTACTGAAATGTGGTTAGTTGCTTAACTCACGGATTTCTGCTCTCGTATGGGAGTTTGGTAAAACGCTCTAGGATTGGCGGTCCCAAATCATAGTTCCCCTGGATGGCGGTATGGAGCGACAGGCGGTATGGGTCGGGTGTCCCTTTCTGTCTGCTTCTGGGTGCATGCCGACTGTCCACTTTGGCTGGACCTGCTTCAGCTATCTGCTGTTGAGGTGACTGCTCGTATGTGTCCGCCTGGCAGTGTCCTCTTCGACTGTCCACCCGGAGGTGCAAGTGCAACCCCTTTTTATACACGTTCTGGAGGGGGAATCATCGGGGGAAAATCTGATGCAATCGCATGTAACTCTTGACTTGTGTCAAGATTTGTTTACATTATTCTGACAGCCATCAAACGGTTCTTTTGATTTATTACGTTTTCTATCCGTTACTTATGATGGGAAAGTGTCACACCAGCTGTCAAGCTTCTTAAATTAATTTCTGCAGATGGCTAAGTTCTGAACATCTGCATGGCCACCTGGATGATAATTGTAAGTCATCCTGTTACTCTCTATCCTGTAACAGGTGGAGATTCTTGTCAATTGGCTACTGATTTGTACAAATTATAACGAAGGTGGGACTGAATAATCTCCTGTTGTCAGGGGAGAACTTCCGAAGATGTTTAGGCCACCTTTGGTAGTGATGCATTACACTTATAGATCAAAAGGTCTAACTTTAACATGACTAGAGGAAAAAGGGAAATAATGATGAAAATAAAAATTACCAACGAGTGAAAATTTACACGGGAGTCTGAATTTTCACACTAGAGTATGTGTTAAAAATGGGTTCAATCTTTAAAATCTCTTCTTAAACAGTCTTTATATTGGGATCAGAAGTGCGATTAATGCTGTACCAAAGAAAAGCCGATGGATTCTATCTCAAGAAGCATAAAACACTCACTGAGACAATACTTTTGAACACATTACTAGTTACACAGTTTTAATGAGTATTGCTATATTTACCAAAGTGCTGTGCAACTGTGTGAGCACATGGTAGCAGATTTCTATGGAAATGAAACTGTGACTTGTAAATCTGGCTAGATCGTTGTTGCTGGAAGCAGATGTCTGAGCATTTTGATCAGATGCCAAGCAAATGAAATAAAATTTTAATCTCCATATGCATCGATAATTAATGATGCCCAGCATCTCTCTTGTTTCCTCGCATGCATCGTTACGAGTGAAAAGTAATATTTAACGACTGGTGTATTAGCTATTAACTGCGAACACTCGTTTCGTAAAAATTGAGAATAATGCAATGCGAATAATAATGTGAGATCAGCCGGGGGTACAATCTATCTGTTATGATGTTGGTACCACTTATTCGGCACAGATTAAGTGAAATCTGTTCTCCTAGTTTCGGATCTTTTGATCCAATCTTGTGTCAAGATTTCTGACCGGGAGGGCTTTTGTAATCGATCCAATCATGGGATTCGGATCTATGTCAGGATTGACACCAGTTTATCTACTTCTTGTAACACAGATAAACACGCGTGATATTATGCCGTAGATTTGATTCAGAGAGTCAACACGAGACATTTCTTTAACAAAAATATAGAAAATTTAATAACTAAAAATAAACTAGATTATACAAAGGAAAAATGGTTGGATATTCAGAGATAAACGAATGACTACAGCAATTAAATCCAATTAGAGGCACCGAGAGAGTAACGGACTTACTTAACCTATACAATGTCGAGAGAGAGAGAGAGCTCACAATTCATTCATAAACATACAACCTGTTTAGTTGACTTTATCTTCCTTTCGTCAAATATACTTCAGTTCTAAGTTCTCAACTTCTATTCAGTTGGATGTCTTGATAGGCACAATGTTACAATTCATCTTCTGTGTTTCTAACTCAATATTAATTTGATAGGATACGACTATGGGCGTTGGCCTTAGAGAACAAATGTGTGGAGTGCTTTTCACTCTCAGATCTCTGGACGAACTCCCCGAATTCTGCCAAATTCTGACTATCTCTCTCCATTTGCGACCAATCAGCATGTTTGGATTCTTCCACGTGAACGGATGAAAAGGGGAAGAAATGAGGGGTCGTCAATTCCCATCGTGGCGAGATTTTTAACATATAAGGGAAAAACAAAGGATGCTCATACTTCCATCAAAGGAAGTGGCTCTGTTATCTGCTTTCCCATGCTAGAAAACCAAAACGAAAGAATATTTTTCTACAAAATTAAAACTATATCTTTAAATTATCATTTAGACCCAGGGGCTATTCGGATCTCACACTAATTGTCACATACATATTTATTGCGCTTAAGAGAAATAACCTTGGCATAACCAAAGACTTAAACTTCGTGTTATAAATTATCATTTAAAATTATGATATAGTATACTAGCCTAAAAAATGCAATATAGATAAAAATATAGCAAATTCATGCCTATGTTTACGTTCATATTTAAGCTTCAATATAAGGAAACAAATAAAAAAAATCAATAGTTAGCGTAGCTGTTTACATTAGATCCGATATCTGCTTAAGCAATGTTATTAAAACGAAAAAATATATATAAACTGTTTGTATTGTATAAAAAGAAGTACAAAAATTAACGTAAGGTAGCAAAATATAACCAAAATTTAATTTTCTACTAATTTTTCCAAAATTATTTCTCCATAGAAAACCATTCATTCACGAAGAATATGTATGCTTATAGAACTTTTTGTGTTTAACTAACTTGTAAGCATAAATTGTTATATTTTGCATGATTCCTTTGCTAAAATAACTTAAAAATTAATGTTTGAGCTAATGAAGCTTATCTGACTGGAGTACTGTAATTTTGCTGTACTGTAGTTTTGTTCTAACATAATAAATTATATAGATGAAAGAGAAATAGTTACAAATCTTAAACATATAAAAATANGCGTTGAATTTTCGTCGATGTTAAGCCTAACATAATCTTTTTAAAATAATAATCGTGACTATTGTATCGTTAAAAATTATATCTTTATTTTTTACAAACAAAATAAATATATTGAAAAATATAAAAACAAAAAAATTATACTTTAGAAGTTAATCTAGTATCAAAAACGTTAGATTCAGCACAACACACAGTCCTTGCAAAGCACCCCACAAAAGTGCCAGTCTGCCAGCTAAAACGCACACATCAACAAAAGAAAATATTGGAGTAGCCCAAGATATTGTTAATTAATGATTGCAGTGCCACAGCACTAGCAAAAATTTAAATTTGCCGACTGGAATTTTTTCGGATAACCGACTTTCGGATAAATAGTGCTCTATTGTATATTTTCTTTGTCTCTAATCACATGCATACATATACTTGTTTCATTCAAAAGTAATAGTTTGATTTTATTTATTGTAAACAATGTATGGTATAATTTTGTCCCATCACAATTAATCAAACCTTTAATTTACAAGGAAAAGTGCTGAACAAAGAAGTCGATATGACAAAATTCGCCCATTCATGACCGATCAATTCTTTAGTTTGTCAATCAATACCAATAAAAAATAAATGAATTTCAAAAAGTTTTGACAAAAGGCACAGAGTTATTAAGCTTCGGAATGGATGAACAAAACTGTGCTCCCCAAATATTTATACATACTCGTACAGATAAAATCTCCTGAAATTTGTTTTGCATTTCTCTATGTTTCAAGGTTCCCGAATCCAAACACGTAAAAATCTTGGGGGTCACTTTTGAACCAATCTTCGTACTTTCCTTCCCTGGCTGTTGTAACAGCCAGGGAAGAAAAATAAATTGAACAACCTTTTAAGTTAAAAGGAAATATATTTTAATGTCTTTTAAATTAAATTTTTACCACTGATTTTTAAAAATGTAGTCTAAGCTACTACCTGGATTTTAATTTATTTTTGTGTTTGATTTTTATTAATATACTAGCTTACCCGTCGCGCATTGCTGCGATCTCAGAAGAAAGGAAATTTTTATTTTTTGTTTTTCCGTCTGGTGCGTACACGAATAAATCAGGTTTTCCGACGCGTGAGCAGGCCACATACAGTTGTCCACGCGAGAAGCACGGATTCTCCAAATTTAGCTCGCTCACTCGCTGCGATTGTCAGAAGCGCGATATTCCCCATTTATATATATATATATTTTAATCCTTTATAATTTTAATTATTTAATTGCTCCTTCCTCTCTTCCTTGGCGTGTTGTGAAATTTCTTATAGTCGGATAATAAACCGTTTTATTGTAATTTGTCTTTTTAAATTATTTTGAGTCGATATTAACATTTGGAAAAGGGGAGATCCCTACATAGGTAAAATAGGCGAATTTCTTCCAACGACTTCGGTCGTTGTTCGGGGTACGGTTAAGGTTTTAACGAAGTTCGAGCGAATACATAATCAGCAAAAAATGTTGAAATAAAGTGATTAAACAAAAATTATTACAAATATCGTAAATAACAGTTGACAAATGCATATATAGAGATATTTTTGAAGAGGGGAAATGGTCTTCGCAATTTGAAATCGATCGAACGCACAGTACTCGAATGCTCGTGTAAACGCGCGCCATCTATCGTAGGATAAATGCCAGAAACCTTCGCGAAAGTGTATTAAAAAACTTCCCAAAGCTTCGTGGCAATCGTACTACGCCAGAAACCTTCACGGGAGTATATTAAACAACTTCTCAAAGTTTCACGGCAATCGGATAAACGGTGTGGTAATGCATGAAGAACACATACACACACATTTATTTTTATATATATAGATAACAGTTGTTCTCTGAACAGATGAATATGATAAATCTACATTAGTCTATCCACACAATATTAATATTATAAATATTAATAATTACAATACAATAATGTTGTATAGATATTATTTTAAGATACAAAATTAAGACAAATTCAAAATATAAGTAAATAAATTCTAAAATAACCATACCATCGTTTTCTTTTCTTCTAGACCATGCCATTTTCTGTAACAAAAACATATTTTAAACAAAACCCAAAATGGTTAATCTTGTTTTGATATTGTAAATTAAAATCATAATCATTTATAATTATAACAGTTTATCATTTATAATTATCTTTAATAATAAAATAATGTTTAATTAGCTATTATGTCATTATTTTTACATATATATATAATATCTACGAAGTGCTTACGTACTTTAAAACTGCAACAAGTAACATTCTATTGTAGTGCTACAGCACTAATTGTATTGTACACAAATG